CGGCTGCCCGCGCCGTGCCCCCCGCGGCAGCGCTCGGCCGGCGCCGCGCTGCGCCTTCCGGAGGCCGTCGGGCTCCGAAATTCCCCGCTTTTAGCAGAAAAAAAGGAGGGCTGCAGGGCCACCTCGTTCTCCCCTTTCTCTGCTGAAAGAGGGACATCTATGTCCGACGTGGGAAAGGGGTCAGTGCTCTCTTTCCCCCGCAGAAGCAGCTGAAAGCAGGCTCTGTTGCTGATCCAAAGCTGCCAGGTTTTTTTTCTCTCAACAACTAATATCAATTCCTTTGCGTTAAAACTTACTCAACAGTGTTCTCGGTGAGGGGATTCTAGTTCCACTGATCACACAGAGGGATGGAAAATTCCTGACATGTGGCTTGGTGTAGCACATCGAGCACGCCGGGTGTCACACACACAAACCAGAAAACACAGAGTGCTGCGAGAGGTGAAGGAGCTCTGGGAAGTCACAGCGTGTCACACAGAGCGTGGGAGCTAAATATCAACACCAGGAAACTTGGAGCGTTGCTGAAAGTGGAATGCTGGGAAGCCGTCATGTCAAAACACGCTGCGGGCTGTCTCTGCTGGTGGATGTGCTGGAACAAGCATTCTCAGCCATCCCTGGTCAGGGATGTGAACATCGGTATAGAGATCTTGGGCCTTGCCTGTGATCACAGATACCTTACTGTGTGTAGAAGTAGACACTTAGTGAGTGAGTGGGAACTGAGTGTGCTGGTCTGCTTTCACCACTGGAGAGTCGTAAAGTTCGTTTTCAGCAAACACAGAGCAAGTGCAGGAGAAGCTGATCGAAGCTGACAGAGAATTTGGCTTGGACTCAAACGGAAAGAGGAAAAATGTAGTCTAGATAATAGGAATAAACTCTTTCATGTGAGGGGGGTTAGGCACTGGTACTGGTTGCCCAGAGAAATTGTGGGTGCCCCATCCCTGGAAGTGTTCAAGGCCTGGTTGGGTGGAGCTCTGAGCAATCTGGTCTAGTGAAAAATGTTCCTGACCATTGCAGGGGTCTTAAAACTAGATGATTGCTAAGGTTCCGTCCAACCCAACCCATTCTGTGAATCCATGAAATTTTAATGCATCTGAGATGCAAAGATTTTGCGATGGAAGAAAATGATCCTGACCATTTTTTAATGGGCTTATTTTTTTCCTAAGGTATTGAAGTCACCCAGTTTTATTTTGAAGCACATACTAATATTTATATCAGAAAACTGTTCACAGCTAAAGTCATAAAATGGGTAGGGATTTTAAATATTGGCAGTGGGGATTGGCAATATTGGACCTGAGCTGGCCACGTTTTGTTGGTAATGGTGGTTCTCATGTTCTGGTAATAGCATGCACAGTGAAGTAATGTTTAAATAATCAGCAGGATCCTCTTACCAAGTGCCTAACTGGCAATTTGAGGTGGGTGGCAGCCAGGAACTAGTTAATGATCATTAATGAGCATGAGAGATGTATCTGCTTAAAATGTCACTCTACACACGATGGTATGACTGAAGAAATGCAAGGCTTTGTATTTCTGTGTACTAAGCTTTCAAGCCTAGTTGACGAGTGTTTAGGATTTATTTGGTCTTTTTCTCTCCCCCCCTTACAGAAAGGCCGCTCCTCGCTGGTTGCTCCAGTGCACATAGTCAGTGAAGAGTCAGCTGACAAGACCAACCTGGGCTTTATTCACGCCTTCGTGGCTGCTATATCGGTCATCATCGTGTCAGAGCTGGGCGACAAGACCTTCTTCATCGCGGCCATCATGGCCATGCGCTACAACCGCCTGACTGTGCTGGCTGGTGCTATGCTGGCCCTGGGACTGATGACGTGTTTATCAGGTTAGCACGCTGCTTTTGCAGTTGTTTTATCGCTTAAGAAGTGATGGGTATGTATTTATACAAAAACCTTAACTGGAATGTGGGTAGTACATATATGCAGTTTTCTGTTTTGAGGAGAGTGTGTAGCTTTTCCTGTGGAGCATGGAATCTCAGATGGAGTATTTAGGCTCTTTCCTCTCATGAAGTCTTTGTGTGTTCCCTAGGCCTCAACTGGAGCTTAAGGAAGGGGAATGAGATGGAGAGCCTAAGCACTTCCTTTGATTTTTGGACTGGTTTACTTTTTTTTTTTTTTTTTCTCTTGTTAAATTAGTGCGCCTAAAGGGAATGTGGGAGTGGCTTCTGTTTTTCCTCCTAAGGCAAAAGATTCTTTATATGATGACACACTTTCCTCATCTGACTTGTATTCCTGCACACGTGGCTGTTTGGATTTGTGCTGGGAGCTGTGTAGGTGGAAGATGGAGGGGCGGGAGCGGGAAGTGAGGTGTCAGGGGGCACTTGAGGAGCCTGTAGCCATGGGCACTTAGGTAGCTGTGATGGTAAAATGGAGCAGCCTTCAGGTACATCAGATGCAGCACAGAGTTTGTCTGTGTGCTCATTTCTAACCATGCCCATTTGAGAAATGCTTGAAGTAGTGGTGACTGGTTTACACACACAGGAGACAGCCAGTTCACTGGCGCAGGCTGCTTGGCAAGTGTTTCTGTGAATGGTTTTTGGGTGTGTGGCTGTTGCTGTGTACACTGCTGCAATTATTGCAGCTTTAGTTAGAGCAGTTTCCACTTGCATTGTGTGTAATTTCTCCTGCCCATTACGGCTCTCTTTTTCTATACAAATTCTTTCTTCAAACCTTTCTTAATGCTTTCTCATAAAAGCTTCCTTTTCTGCTTTTATCCCCCAGTTTAGAGGTTCCCAATTATTTATTCCCTTTTCAGAAAGGAACTTGTTTGGTTCTTCTTCCCCCATACCCTTTCCTTCTCCTGTCTCTTGCCCTTGTTTTATACAAGCTGAGTTTGGAAATTCCTGGGGGGTTTGCCCACCTTGATTTCATGAAGGCATACTCACTTAAACTCTTTAGGTCCAAATAATCTACTTGGGATATTTTTTCAAGCTGTGCTTGACAAAATAAACTGTCTTACAGTTCTGATTGTTTCACTGTGTCTGTGCTTATATATGTAAGAAATGCTTGGAAGAGGTAGCCTTTTTGTCTAGCTTTCTTGCATTGTTTTACTGCAGTATTTTCAGTCTTTTTAAAGAAGTTTAGTTTAACTTCTGGTTTGTTTAGCTTTGCAAATAGTACTGCTGTATGTGTATGTATGTGCTGTGTTTATGAGCAATAAGGCTGATTAATTCTGGTCTCATTCTTACTTCTGGTAGTGGCAGTGCAGAATTATTTCTAGATCACTTAGTAACTTCTGAGTGCATTTTTCAACTAAAAAGGTGTGTACAAAAAAGCACGTGGTAATATGCTTCCTTTTAGCTAATTGCATGTGGAATAAAGTAACAGAAACACTTGTGAGTGCATGGTCCAAACAACCTTGAATATAAGGTGTGGACATTTTATTTCTTCCCATTTATATAGGCCTTTTTCCTGTCAAAAAAATGCTGAGTGGGCTTATTTTGTGAAAACGAGGTATTTTGTTCTGAATACATATTTCTTATTTAAGAACTAGTTTTGGCTTAGTTTAATCACCCTCAATACCTCTAAAAGACATGCTGTGAAGGTTGCTTTTCAGTAAGAGGGATCTGCCTTTGAAATAAAGAAAGATCAAAGTTGGTCACATTGTGTGTGTGGGGAATATGGGGAACAAGGGAATAGCAATGTGTACTTGGCAAAGGAAGACAGACATGGATTCACCCAGCTGGATGATTTGTAGATATGCCTGGTAGATTTACCTCATTGAAAATCTTATTCTGACTTCATCTGATAAATGAAATTATTGGAAAGAGATGCTATCTAACATGTAAATGGAATTAACTGGAGAACACTATGACTAATCCAACACAATTACAGATGGTAGTTTAATGGTGTGTATGGAGGAAGGCAGGACTTGCAGAGACCTTGATGGGAAAGATAATGTTGTTTGGACTGGCTCTCAGGAACAGCAGCACCTCAGCTTTGGCTCGAGTGCATTGTCTGTGTCTTAGTGGACTTCAGTCTCTGGCATAAGCAGTAATGGTTGGAGTTTCTAGCATGTTATCTTCCAGAAACTTAGAAAATTATACAAAACTAACAAAATATTTATTTATCAGTGGATGTTTGGATTGTTGACTTTGCTAGCAAGCATTCCTTAGATGTGGGAAAAACAATTATGATCCTCATGCTTATTTTTTTAAATGACACATTTGTTTTCTTTTCAGTTTTGTTTGGCTATGCCACCACGGTTATTCCTCGTGTGTACACGTACTATGTGTCAACAGCACTGTTTGCAATCTTTGGCATCCGAATGCTTCGGGAAGGCTTGAAAATGAGTCCAGATGAAGGTCAGGAAGAGCTGGAGGAAGTTCAAGCAGAAATTAAAAAAAAAGATGAGGAAGTAAGTAGTGAAATTGCTGTTTGTTACAGCTGGTGGAAAAATTACAGCTGTGAAGCTGCAGAGCAGCACTGTCATGTTTGGGTTGTTCAGCTATGTCTGTGACTGATAAACTGACACAGGAAATATGTGGTAGATGGGATGGAAGTGGTTCCCTGAAGGCTCTTTCAGCAGGTGATTCCAGTCCTGTGGCAAGCCTGGCTTCTTAGGAGAGAAGGGGCCTTCTGCTTAGTGTGGGTGTTTTTGACGTGTTTTTAATGCATTGCTAGCAGGGAGGACACCAACACCTTATTCTTGGCTCAACTTTTATTTCTTCTAATGGTCAGACACTTTATTTGTAAGCAGTACAAGATGGACAATAATTGAAGGTTAGAGCTGATTGCAGCTATATATATATGTGTGTATACACACATACACAGTATGTATATATATTATGTATACACAGTATGCGTATATATAGCTATTTTTTTGTCATGGTGACTGTATAAATATGTTGATAATGCCGCAGGCAGTGGATAGTAACATTCTAGAAATGAAATATCTACCTTTATTTTTGAGTGTTTCTTATGGGTTGTTTGGATGATTTTTAATTTTATGGTTATTTCTTGTTTTTTTTTTTCCTTTGACCTACACAGCTTCAGAGAACTAAACTGTTAAATGGGCCAGGAGATGTGGAATCTGGGCCAGGCACCACTATACCTCAGAAGAAGTGGCTACACTTTATTTCACCAATCTTTGTTCAAGCTTTTACTTTAACATTTTTAGCAGAATGGGGCGATCGTTCCCAATTAACAACCATAGTCTTGGCTGCCAGAGAGGTGAGTGTTGCAGAATCCCTGCTGTTCTTTTGCCTTCTTTGGGTTGCCATAGAGGGATAAGAAACAAAATACTCTTGCAGGAGCTATCAGATTCACACCTGCTGCCTTGATGTTCCTTACGTAGTTTGTGTCAAGACGTGACAGTAAATGCACTGAAGCTCTCTGTAGTATTAAAACTACTGTTACATGATTGGAACTGCACTGACATTTCTGGAAATAGCTGCTTTATGTCATGCAGCTGACATCAACTGGGTTTTGTTACAGTTGAGGGATGTTACAGAAGAGGTGTTTCTTTGGTTTTTGTGGTCATTCAGTTTTAACTGGGTAACTTTAAAAGATACTTCCATTCCATCAAGCTTTAAACTGTTAGAAAGATGACCTTCTCAGATACCTCTTGTTAAAATATGAGTTAATATGGTACAGTGTATAGAAGGACAATAAACTCTAAACTGCCAGGCACTAAGTAATGCTGTAATTTAAATCATATTCATTGTGGTGATTAGAGTGTATATAGCTGTATATAGAACTGTATATAGAGCTGTATATAGCTGTATTATCTTAAAGGAAGATGAAGGCTTATAGTCAAGCTTTTAATAAACATAAGTAGCTTGCCTATGCTCTTTCATGCATTGAGATAATTTACTTTTTTTTCCCTAGGACTTATGCTTCTTTCAGATGCACTTTCAAATGTTCCCTAGGGATAAATCAGGGCTGTGTAATGAAGGAGGCTGTAACCTGCAGGAACCTCCTGTCTCTGTTACAGTGTAGGGAAGATGTTTAGAGCTAACAGCAGGAGAGGATGATCTCATTGTTCTTGGAAAAAAAACGAAGCACTACAGCCTCTGCCTTATTTGCTAGGCAAGTTGCTTAAGCCCATCTTTTTACATCTGTTTACTTTTGGTTTGCATTTCCTAAGTGTCCCTTTAGGAAGTGTGTGTCAGCTCTTTAGTCTGGTTTGTGAAGTGCTGAGCATTGTAGTTAAAGCCTGTGGGCTTTACCTGTAGAATATGAAATGTTCATAGGAGTGCTACCAAACAAAAAATTAATTGAAGGTATCTTGATACTGGCTTTCAAAATCAGTGAATAACTATGATGGAATGTGGAACCTTCTGCCACTGAGGGCTGTATAGGTAATTGCTGGCTGTAGGGATATCCAGGGATTCTGGGTCCTGCTCCTGGGGGCCTGTTTGTTCTGCTGGCCCAGCCCTGCTTTCCTGCACTTCTTGGTGCTTTCCAGCCTGCTGACTGCTTTTCTCACTGGCTTGTGTTTTTGGTTCTTTTGGGCTACTGAGTGTTGTCTTCAAACCACAGTTTCTTAGACAGTTTTGCTGTTCACCTCTTTGAGATTTCATGCATTCCTTAGGTGAGGGCAGCAGCTTTTTTTTTTCCTCTTGGAACTAAAAGTGTCACATAGAGATGAGCAGGGGACATATGCTGTCCTTAGCTGTGTAATTTCTAAGCAGATCTGAGAAATCTCTTTAGGTACTGCAGTTGTTCACACACTGAAAAGCTGTTCATGACAGTAAATTATAAAATAATTTATTGTCCTCTGGACTTCAAATCTTTCATGCTTATCCTTCCCTGTTTGGATGGTGGAGCAGGGCAGAGTGTGGAGCACAAATGGGAGAAGCAGGGCAGAGAACTTGGAATGCTGCTGAAAGCTTTCATTTGCAGTTCAAGGACTTATCTCTCTCCTTCTTTATAGATAGGTTAGTGCTCTTCCAGCTGATGCATATTGTGTTTTTCAACAACTGCCACCTTCCCTCTAGAGGTTGCCTATTGGTTTAACTCCAGCAGAGTGATTTCTGGATCTATAATTAACAACTTAAAGATGCTGCGTGGCTGAAACATGCCATATGCTCCTATCTTAGGCTGGGTTTAAATCTGTCTCACCAGCTGATGTTCACTATTACTAGTCTTTGTCAGTGCTGAACAGCAGAGCAGAGGAATCACCAGGCACTATCCTCCATGCTTGGCAGTCTGCAACCAGGAAATCAAAGCACTGCTCTGAGGTTGTTGTAGGACTAGTGGGTTTTCAACAGTGCCAATTTATCCCTTTGTGCCTTTCTTTTCCCCGTAGGACCCTTATGGTGTGGCAGTAGGAGGAACGGTGGGACATTGCCTATGCACTGGTTTAGCAGTTATCGGAGGGAGAATGATAGCACAAAAAATTTCTGTTAGGACTGGTAAGTGAAAACTCACTCCAACCAAAACAATGTAATGCTGGTAATTTTTGTGGTGTAAAGAGCTGCATGCTTGGGAACAGTGTTTCTCGAAACTTTTGGAAAACCCATAAAAACTGGTGCTTTGTTTTGGGTTATTCAGGGTTTGGTTTTGAGTCTGTCTTGCATCCCACCTTGTTTTGCTTCACTATTGGCTACTTCTTTTAGGAGACCAGAGGAAGGAATTTTAAATGGTCAGTATTCATTTTTTGACACTGGATAATAGAAATTCTGTTGCCATTCTGAGTCTAGACTGTCAGGTGAGCAAGAGAACTGCATCCTAATGACTTACACCAGCCATTTAAAAGTTTTAAAAACTACTCTGTATGGCATAAGTGGTGTTTTTAAATCATATCTACTAATTGCAACAGGCAGGACTGGTGAGGTTACATGGGCTTGTGTGTTTTTCCTTAACTTAGGTTGCAGCTTGCTTCCACTGTCAGTCCTATGATGTGGTGGGATTTCTTGCTCCCAAGAATAATCCTGTGAAGCTGTTTGCTATATATGTTCATTCAGAATGTTTGTTCTGTAGTTGCAGAGGTGCTAAAAGACCAGCTTCACTGCTAAAAGTGAAGCATGCACTCTGTTGTGTTTGTTTGCTGAGGAAATTGATGACAAAATGCTAATCTAACAATGGTTTCATATGCTCCAAGCACAGTGTGGATCTTGTGCCACAGAAACAGCCTTAGATTAAACCAAAGATCCTTCTAGGATGTTGGTTTGTTTAAAGAGTCGGGGAACATATACAGAGATGCTTTCCCATAATTCTGTCCTAGCCTCTAGCAGATTGTGGCTTTTGCAAACAGTTGACATTTTTTATACTTTTTCTTTCAATATAGTTGCCTAAAATGTGCAAAAAATGCTAAATATATGTATATATATAATATACAATTGATGGCTTGCTCTGGCATGAGAATATCCTATCCTATTTTCTGCCATACAGCCAAATACTCAACAGCAGGTGTTAACCTAGTTGTATACTGGCTCCAGTAATGAGTAAAACAAAGCTTCCTTCTGTGGGCCAGAAAATATCCTTGGAGATGCAGTTAGACAGTGGGTTGGTATATGGGCATCCCAATACTGAGCTAGAAACAACATCCACTGCTTGTAGCATGAATTAAGTAAGGTTATTTGGGAATCAGACATTTTGAAAAAATAACATCTGTAATGTGTCATGGAAGATAATTACTCTTTGATGTCTAATTTCTTCTTGTTTTGTGTTTTCTTTTCAGTGACAATCATAGGAGGCATTGTCTTCTTAGCATTTGCCTTTTCTGCACTATTTATAAGTCCAGACTCTGGTTTTTAAAATTTTTCATTGCTGTAAAAGAACAAGGATTGGAAGCATCAAGCAGTTATCCTTGTGGATTTTTGTATATAATGTACAGAATTCTAGTTAAACAATGCTGAAGATGAGACACTGAACTTTTTATAGCAGATGATTCATGGGACTGATGCATTCATGGACAGCTTCTGCACTGGAGATCTGCTTATTGTCTGGTTTGTTTGTGCTGTGGTGCCTGCTCCCATGGTGGGATTTGAGTGGTTTTCTCACTTGCTGGACCTGGCTCAGCTGAGTTCAAGGATCTGCTCTCCGGAGTGTTGAGAATTCCTCTTTTCTTCCTCCGATACACACAACCACCTTTCCTGTTTTTTCAAGAGCTGATTCTTCAGGCCTCTTGAAGCAGACTGTGCTAAGGAGAAAACTGCTGGCTCCACCTCCAAAGATGGTGGTTCCATGGTGCACCTGAGGCTGGATAATCTAAGCAACAAGAAACCTGGGAGCAGGTTCTGGAACCTATGCCATCCAGTGGCTGAGCCACCAACAGAGAATGTTATAAACTTAATTTAGAGGGAAAACTTCTTAATCAGGGATTTTTATCAGGAAATTATGTGGGGTGATTAACAACCTACTGTGTTTAATATGCAATCTGGCGGGAGCTAGTATTATTTGATTTCTTTCTATTTTATATATTAAGGTACACAGAAAGTAATTAAGTGGTCCAACTTAACCATGTTCTATTCCCAGGACTGAGCAGCAATGGAATTCATAGGTTTAGATGTATTCCTGATTTTTATTTTTAGGACTAGAAATGTAATCTGGAAGATTATTAATAAAACATAGTGTCTCAATTTGTGTTATTTTCAGTTTGGTTTTGATGGCTGCCATAATTCCTGCCACAAAGGTTTACCTAGTGATTATGTCCTTTAGATGAGGAAAGTTTATTAAATTTATTTTAGTTTCTGATAAATGCCAGTGTTATGAAGTCTTTCAGAATGTTAAGCACTGAAGATACATGGGTTGCAGAAATGCAGGCTTACCTCTACTCTCCAATGGTGACTTGGATTTTGAGCCTGTGTAACCCACTGAGATCTACCTTGTAGCAGTCTTGGAAGGTAGTAGACATGGTTTCTAATATAATGAATGTGCCTTTTTTGAAGCTGAAGTACTAATGGAGCATTACATATTTGACCATTCCATTTGCAGATCAGAAACAGAACAGCCCCTAATCGTTCTCTTAGGTTTCTCTTTCCAGAAAGCCCCTTAATGCCACATTTCTCAAACTCTTAAGACCATAGCAGTGTAATGGCAGGCAATCACAGTGGTATGAAAACAGGCTGCCATTTTGGGCTCCAGGTCCACATGTTCCTGTTTTGGCCCAAAGGAATTGTATGGTTTGGTGCTTTGATTTTTATTGGGTTGTTTTAAGGCATTTAGTTTGGGTTTTTTGGTCTTTGTTTTATTTTGAAGCAAACTTTGTAGCCAAAACCTGTAGCCTTTTCTTTCCCACAGTCTAAGGATCCACACTGTCCATGATGAGTTTCACCTCCTGGAGGGAGTGCATTTATAGCAAAGGTCATGTTAAAACAAGGCAGGAACAGGGAACTGCAAGGAAGAGCCTAAACTTCTGACTGTTTGTGGGAAACTTCTTGTTGTGTTAATCAGAAGTGGTGCCGCTGGACATACAGACCTCTCCCAGGCAGGGTAACTGGTGCGACCTGATTTTTCTTTTTAGGAATAGAAATGTAATTGGGAAAAGCCACGGAATTGTTTTTTCTGAAAATCTAAAATCCAGTTCACCATGCTCTAATTCTAGAAGCTTCTCAAAGTTTATGTGTGCTGTTTAATGCTTTAATTTTTGATGTGAAAAGTTACGATCATAGGATCAGCAGAATGAAGCCCTTGTTTATAGAGGTGAGCGTTAAGTTGCAGAAAAAATCTCAGCAACTTCTACATCTCTATTTTACTATTACAAACTTACACAGATGCCAAGTACTGCTTTTGCCCAGTCATAGCAATGTATTTGGCTGCTCTCAAAGACCAGCTAGGCAGGTTAGTTTGAATAGTGCTGTTAGACTAGCTTTTTTATTATTTTTAAAGCACAAACATTGACTTGTTGGAAGTCTAGCATGCAATTAGATAGCTCGTGAAATTTTAGTAAAAGCTTTGAAAGGTGCATCAGTATTTGCTACTAGTGACTGATTTAACGTTGTCAAGTGCCTGTTGGAATTTTTCACAGTTTAAAGAATCAAGTTGGGACGTAAGGAAAGACTTGAAGGTGATGGAGGGATCCAGGTCCGTATTCTTAGCAGTGCTGTGTCTGCAGTGCAGTTTCCAGGACATGGCCTTGTCCCTCCAGTGTCTCAAAGGACTTGCACCCTGGCCAGCTCTCACCTGTTGGTTGGCTCGGGGGCTGGGATTTTAGCAGTTTTTATCAGACTTCTTGTTGCAGCACATTGCCAGCAGGAGGGGTGTGCTGCTGTTCTCTCTCAAAATACCTGGATACGTGAGATACAAGCAATATAGTGTGTATGGGCAGTTATATATAATGTAACCAGCTGAAGCCTTGATTGCCACAGTCCTGTGGGCTTTCTTGTTCTTTTGTAGTTGGAGAATGTGAAATGCAGTGAGTGAGAGCACAAGCGCTGAAGGGAAGGGTCTGCAAACTATTGTGTCTGCAACATGGGAAATGGGCAACTGTCCACCACAGGCTTCCATCCGTCCTGCAGCTTTCCCTGCTGGGGTGAGATGCAGCTGATTGCAGCCGCTGCCAAAGGAACCTGGAAAGCAGCATGCAAAGCAGGAATTTACAGCTCTGACTGCACATTGCCCCAGCAGAGGTTTGCCAGTGCACACTGCCAGCGATTCCTCACTTCCACACAGTAGGAGTCAAATGGAGATGACGGTCAGTTCTACTGGGATGGAAAATTCTCACATCAACTGAGATGTTTACATTGAGAAAAGGTTGTGATTGTTATTTTAAAAGGTGCCTATTCCCAATCCTTAGATAAAGCCTGTCTCATTACTCTGTATATGGCAAAGTGCAATAAACCAAGACTGAAGTAAACTAATCTTCCATCCTGCCAGGACAAAGTTTTTCAAAGGAAACCTGTTGAACCAAAGTACAGGACCAGATCACCAGCAAACCTGCTTTTCCTAGGGTAATGTCAGCAGGTGTGTGTGTGCTGGGCTGGTGCCTGGGCTTGCTGTTTTTGAGATCTATGAGTCAGACACCAGGTTGGAAAAGCTGGAAGTGAGAGGGGCCGTTTCCTGAGCACTGCAAGTGGCAGCCTGCTGCCATACAGGCTCCTCCCTCACTTCAGCTGCCCCTCCTGCTCAGGCTGGCTCTGGAACAATGCCACCAGATTTACATGAGTGGTTTTGTTTCTAGAAAGAGGTTGGTAGTTCAGTGTACTTCCATGTTTGTCCCAGATACTGTGTATGTAAAAAACAAAATCCGATCTTAAATCAAGAGGATCAGACTGTTTCACCCTAATATAATCTGACTTATTGTTAATTTCCAGAGCCATGGAAATAATGATGTAATGGCACTTGCTGTACTGACGTGGCATTTTTCCAGAGATGACCTTGTATGGCCCCTGAAGTCAGCACCCTTGGCAAGTTACAGATACAGGCTTCTGCTAATGGAGATGCAGGGTCATTTCTGTAGCATTTCCCATTGATGTGGGCACTAGGATAGCTGTGTGTTTCTTTGGAATTACTTCCTTTTCTTTCCCAAGGGAGAATGTACTTGCCAAAGGGTCTGACGGTGACAGAGACTGTGCTACCAAGAATGCTAGTAAGGCTCTTGTTATTTTATGTTACCCTCAAACAGCTGAAATCTGGAATTTGTATCACCAATGTCTGAGACTCAGAAGTGGAACTAACCTTTGGATTGCTAATCTTTACAAGTACTTAATGGCTTCATTCTCTTATAAACATGGGTTTTGTTTTCAAGCTTGCATGACAGCAAAATACCATTTAACAGAATGGCTACAGGTGTGGCAGGAGTTATAATTACACTCTTCTTCAAGATAAGTTTATGGAAAAATGTACTACTCTTTCCAAAGTTCGATTTTAAGAAAATTGACAAACTTGCTTGCTCCATGCTCTCAGTCTTATCACTGATGGGTGGTGACAGTTCTTAACTACAGCTACAGCACTTCTACAGCTGATGTTGTTTCATTCCTGGGGCTCAGGGGCCTCATGGCGTATAGAAGTAATATACAGCTTGCACAGGTATTATTTAATTCTCAAAGGCAAAAGATCAGTATCTTCCTCTGGGGATCCAGTGGGATATTACAGAAAAAGAAAGTACTACAGACTGTAAAAATGGCTAACTGTATTTATCGTTTTCTCCAGGCATTTCATTTCAATTACACAATTTTCTTCCCGCCCTCCTTTCCCTGAACATTTAATTCATTTAGAATTATTAATGTTTACACTTTGATCAGTGAAAATGGGGTCAGACCACCCTGACAGGTTACATATTATCACACAGCTCTTCCAGGCAGGAGATACATGCTCTCAACAAGTTGTGGTTGCAGCTAAATGCAAGTCTGTTTCCTTGCTCGGTGGCACAGCCAACATTTCAGACCACCTCTACTCCTTTAAAAAGACTGTTCTTTGACATTTCACCAGCAGAAAAAATACCCCGGATGGGGAGTGGCACCAATTTAAAGAGAGGGGTGTTTTGCCCATGACAGAAAATGAGGGAAGGGCTCTGCCCAACCAAACCTGCTGCAGTGCTGCTCCATCCTTTGGCAAGAACAGGAACTGTAGACACGAAGGTATGAAAGCAGTTTTAAGTTGTGCACACTCAATCAAGTGCTGTGTGAGTAAATTCCAAGGCAGTAATGTAAATACACAAATCAGAGGTCTCTAGCCTTTCGAGTGGGGCATCCGTTTATAAAGAGATACAGAGAGAAGACAAGGAAAAAATACAGTATGCATTTTACTGAAATCTCACAAGTCATTTGTCTGGGTAGGGGAGAGAAGATAAAAGTGACATCAAGCAACTTCTCACAAGTCAGTTCTGTGGGTGGGGGAGAGAGAGTGCCTTTGGTACAGTCGTGGGAAGGGTAAGAGCGCTTCACTGTGAAACTTGGATAAAACTGACATCAAGCAACTCAGAAAAAAACCTCTAGAACCTTAGAAGCTACAGAAAGCAAAATTTTAAATGAGTTACATTTATTCAGTTAAAAAATTGACAGTTAGTAATGGTCACATGAACACCAGGGAACTGTATCTACATTTCCTGACGTCAATATGAACGGCACTAGGGTTTTTCTGATTGTTTTCTTTCACGTATATAAATCTAATGCCAGTTAAAAAAATACAAAACAAAACTGAAACCCAAGACACTGTGAAATCAACACTGCTTAAAAACTCAAAATTCAATCTGATATATTTGAAAATAAATATTTTTTACCTTTCTTGTTAGAAAAAGACAGCTCACCAACTGCTTTCAAAGCAGTTACATCTTTAAGACCATTCCCAAAAGTGTTTCATAAATAATTACCCATTGATTGATTGTCTATTAATGCAGCATCTCTCAGTCATAGCTGGGGTCTCTGTTATTAGGCCATAAAATATTTTTTTCAGACACAGTGTTTTGTTTCCCCCCCCCTTCCTTTTTATTTAGGTATACTTTCTTTGAATATAGCATATCATGCTGGCAAAATTCATGCAGATGGCATAGCATGATGTATCGCAGAGTTTAAAATCACCTGTTTAAAAAAGACAAAAAAAGAAAAAGACAAGGAATGTAGTGTTAAAAATCATGGTAGTGAAAAAGCAACTACCCAGTCTCATGGACAACCAAAACAATTTCAAATGTTCTCTCACAGTTGTCTCATCTACTATGATTTGTTTAAATATGTCTTTTTTAATCCAAATTCATTTCATTCTCTTCAATTTTTTTCCACCAGGGATAAGTAAAAAAATAAAAGGTTAATTATTAAAACTAGTCTCTTTTCCCTTTTAATCAAAATAACCATTTTCCAGCCCTCTGACTATACATCTAATTTTAATAATTATTTCAAATAGAGAAGCTTATGAATCTGACATGTTTGACATCTCCTGATGCCGTGACATTTAAAACACTCATAACAATACCTGGGTTAAATCTCTGAAAATATAAATGATTTTTAATCAACTTTAACATTTGAAAAAGGCCACATCTTTAAACCTTCAGAACATTTTCACACAATTTATAATCCTAAGGGACACTTAGAATTACTGAGCAGGCAAATGAGCCTCCAGATGATTCTCTCTCATAGGCAACTGTGCAACTTTTAAAGCCTCCTTCCATCCAAGGAAGCCATCATCCCTAATCCCTTCCCCTGGCCACATAAAACACAAAGGCAACTGGTTTTAGAAGCCTTTTTAATCCTGCACTTTAAACCTCAAAGGATCACCATAATAAAGAAACATTTTCCAGAAATGTCTCTCTTGACAGTTCTATGTGTTATTCCTCAATGCGCCCCCTTTTTAACAGTTTCACTGACTAAAGAAATAAACTGTTTTTCAAATAGTCTTCTCAGTAAAGTGCTTGTTATTACTCAAAAAAAAAAAAAAACAAAACCAAAAAAAACAACAAAAAAAAGAAAAACCAAAAAAAAAAACAAAAACAAAAAACAAAAAAACACCCAAAAAGAGAAAGTGCTATTTAAGTCTTAAGATAGTTTCTTTTTCCTGTGAAAAACTGCCTGATATATCTTTACTTTATTCATTTTTACATAAAGCTGAAATGAAACCTATTTCTTGTAAGGATGCTGGGTTACTAATTTTGGTGTTTGGCAGTAGGCAAGATGCCCACAGAAGGTGGTGACACACTGGAACCGTAGTGCAGAAGGTAAACCTTCTAGATGAAGTGGAAGGCATATGGAGAGCTCCTACTAGAATCCTTTCATTTTTATATACAAATATAATATATATTAAATATAATATAAAAATAGCTATATTCTTTTTTCTCTCTGAAGTTATCCCAGACACTTTTCTTCAAAGCCTCACCCATTGCAGACAATGTCTGTCTCCTAAACTCCATGCAAATGCTGTCCTCTTCACTCCATTATGTACCACCAGCCCATTTCTTCACAAATACAATCCTCTCCTTAACAGGCCCCCTTCCCTTCTGTCAGAGTCATTCTGAAACATTTCTGCTCCAGAACCTGCAGCATCACAGCACTCACTGTCGTGCTATTTATCAGGATGCTGCAAGTAAGTCTGTAGTAAATGAGTCGGGCAGAAGCAAAAGGCTGATTAAGAAAGAGGCAACAGCCTGGTCCTCTTCTCACTAAAACTCAAGGACAGTTCAGCAATTCATTCAGCAACAGGGCAAGCTGCAGACCTGTTAAATATATACTTTTTAGTCACTACTTTTGAACAAAGCATCTCAATTCTTGCACACAATCTGGACTAAGTTCTATACACTTGCCTTTGTAAAGTTTGCCTGATTCACGTCAGGAATTCTTCAAATGTGTGCTGTATTTTTCCAGTTCCTTAGAATTTCCCCATCTTCTATTCTTTCTATACTAGCTGGTAGTTCTGTAATTGAATGACCTCTCTCTGAGGCTACAAAAAGCTTCTTGATCAAAGCATATATTTCTCTATTTTCTTTCAGCAGCCACACTATCCCATCATCTAATTTCTTTCTCCTAGTTTAGCCTTTTTACTGACAGACCTATAGCAGCACACCAGAGCATCTGGGGAGGGGAGAATGGGAAGAAAAGTTGATATTTTTTTATATAAAAAGCTGCATCATTAACTGTCTGGCTGGTATCTCTAATTTCTGTAATTCTCAGTATAATAGCTTAATTAATTAATACACCTATTTTACCACTATTCAGTAGTTCTAACAGCACTATTAAAGCTCTCCCAGTTTTATTTTTTAGCACTATATTTTTATTGTAATTGGTTAAAGAAATTTGTATCTAACCTATTTTCCATTAGGCAAAGAAGTGATAGCACAGACCTCTAGTCAATGCAGCTTCATATAGAAACAGGTGGAATGGAGTGGTAGGGATAACAGAGCAAGGCAGGATTTCTTTACATAGAACTTTAGAGAAACAGGTCTCTGACAATTACCCCAGTCTGAAGAATGCCAGAAATCCCTTTAAAGAAGGGAAAGTGTTTCTTGCTATGTTTGGTATTGGCATCTGTTCCTTGCTCCAGGTTGCAATAGGCTTCTTGGAGCAGAGAGCAATCAGATTCTCTTTGGTACTGTGTTTCTCACACTCTCCTTCCTTGTTCACTGCTTGGCTTTCTGGTGCCAAGCATTTGCTTTATGACTGGGGAATAACAAAGGTCTAATGCTGGGACACGAGCAGAGACAAAGGCTGGCCCCAAAACGTAACCAACAGCATCACAGGCTTGGCTAAACTGGTATTACCTCCTGCGGGTTTGGTTCATCCAGTAATACAATCAAACTGTTCCACAGTACGAAACAGACCATCACCATTTCGTTACATTCATTCAACTCCTCCGTAGTATTCAAGATTAATCCAGCTTTCTCTCCCTAGCACTAGTTTTAACTGCTTTTACTGGTTTTTGTTTCTAATTAATTATCAGATCTATCAGCATTTATTAATTTTCCTCTGAAGTTCTGGTTTCCACAAACTAGTACCATAAAAACCTACCAACGTTTACTTAAATAGCACGTATCTGTTGGAACTTTTTATTTTCTTTATAAAATGAAGTTGCCTTCTGAAGTCTTAGTTAAGTGATAGCTCTTAAATCAATACCTGGTAGTGTTAAATGCAATCATGATCTCCCCCAAAACACACTTTAAATGCTTCCAAAAATGATTAAAAAAAAATCAGCTTATTATTCTTTCTTCTGCAAAAGGAGTACTGTCTTTTAAGGTCAGCTTTTTTTTTTGCTTTTTGCCTTTTTTTTTTTTTAAGAGTATTACCTTAAAGATCTGAGATTTTTGAGACTCCTGTATTTCTGGCTACTGTCTGAGGGGGAGTACCAGTCATAAATATTCATGGTCTCAACTCAGACCACTGTTAAAATTAACACAATACAGAAATATCTATGAAATAGATACACAAGTTTGGTTGACAATGTGCTAAGACTTCAAAATTGAAAATGGTTACAGATTCAAGACATTGTAATTCAAGATGTTCAACATTATCACCTGAATTAAAATCAAGGCACTATGGGTTTTGTTGTTGTTGTTAAAATGACCCTGAATTAGTTCTGACTAATTTTTGAAGGAGAATAAAAAGATTCCAACATGGTTTAACAAGTTACAATTCTCACCACAGAGAAAGTGGTTAAAAAGTGCCCAAAAGGTTATTAAATGTAAATATATTTTTGTGCAAATTACTCCTATAACTGAAACATTCTTGAAAATTACTGTCATTTTTTTTAAACCTTTTACATAAATATTTCCAACTATGAACTATATCAAAAGATAGCTTTGGGGAATAAAATTCCAAACCATCCGCAAGAAAGCAGTGCAAATTCCTATTTTTCAAATAAAATGATGAATTCATTATGAAATGATGGATGATATTTATGAATCTGAATGTCCTGAACCCTGATGCATGATCACCAGTTCAAACAGCTTCATCAATAATTTAACTTCAAGCAGTCAACTAACCAACACACTATACCTCACCAAACAAACCCTGACATCACGGACAAAGCACAAACAAGAGACTTGTGCCCACATTAAGGGTGAAAATAATGATGCATCATGTTGTAAACAAAAGGGTAGAACAGAGGAGAACATTAGTCTGAGTATGGCGTGAGAATTTAGGGAAACATATTCAAACCTACAAATAACAGATTACATTTTCATGCATCATATAAAATATTTTGCTCTTTCTCCTTTTATGCAGACATATACACAATATTTTACAGCATCTGTACAACAAAGAACTGGATTTCACACAACATTTTCAAAATATTTACTGTCCTGTAATCATCTGAAAAAAAATTAGATGGTTTTTGGACTATATTTCTGGCGTTTTTTCCTGCTAATTCAAAACAATTGCTCCATGTCCATTTTAATACTTTAAAAATGTACAGGATTGATAAAAATACCAATATTTTCAGCATCACTCTCTTTTCAGTCACATTTGGAGATTTCACCTGGACAAATTACAACATGGCAGCAAATCCTTTAGAACACAGAAACCGGGGCAACGCTCAAAGTTGGCCATGTCCCCATCATCATCTTGTAGCTTTTCTTAAGAGATTCCAGAAGTTAGAAGTAGATCACAACACCATGGTGCTAGAAAGCCTTCGTACTGTTACCTCTGTAGCTTCAGTGCAACTGTTTGTGGGGCAGCCCCTCCTGGCAGTTTGCTTCAAAAAGAGGCAGCGCCCACACTACTGTGGCTGAACTTTGGAAGGATCAGTCATCTTGTCAGTTCTGTGTCGTGACAGCTGCTGCTGCTGAGACTGATGCTGCTGGTGATGGGACTGACTGAAAGTGCTTTGTTGTAGTGGGAAAGCAGCAGAGAGAATAAGCTGAGCCGACTGATTTCCATGAAGTAACCTGGATGTCTAAAACACAAAAATTGAAAAAAATTGTTTTTCTTGCTGCACTGAGAAACATGGGCCTACCTGCTTTTTAACTTTTTATATGGGTTCAATCAAAATAAACTTCAGATTTGGCCAGTTAAGCTGAACAAACAATGCAGGGATTTGTTCATACTAATACATTTAATCAGCGCATCTGAACAATTAATAAAGCAGCTGTAATTGGTCTTTGGAATTTCTGTAGTGATAGGTAGGAATACATGGCAATTTGTCTTCATTTCACACCACAAAAGCATAGCAGGGTGTAAAGAATCTATTTGAGTAAGTGTAGGTAGCTGTCATTGCAGTCAAAAGAAAAAATAGTGCACGATTTGGCAGAGATCACATTTATTCCCCACAGACAAAACGCACAGTCAAAGAAAATGGTGCATTTGCAGATGCCAACATCCCCTTTGAAGGAGACTTATTACTGCAGGAAATGGTACTTAGTTTCAACAGTATTCTTCTTAGAACACAAAAAAAGATTACTGAATAAAAACAATGAAGGATGGGTACAAATGCACTAGGACATCTCAATCCTGAAATGTTCTGCAGCAGAGAGTAAAGTACATCAAGTGCTCCACCTACACAATCAGACTGTAAGATGCCCCAGTGAACAGAAGCAGAAAAGGCTCCTTTTGTCCTTCTTAAGAAGTATTTACTTCACTTCAAATTCTAGCACTTTAATAGTTTGTATTAAAAATACTGGACTTTTACTTCAAAAGAAATTCTAGATTAGGCACAGACCTTTTGAGATGTTCATATTTCACATATCTGTTTCACCAGAATCAAGTCAAAATTGTGTAAACTTTTACATTTAGAAACAGAGATACAGACACTACCAACCTGCTAAACAGCCTCTCCAGTGCTCTAGCCACCACTACATCTCTTTCACCAACTCCAGATGCTGGGTGACACATGTTCCAGTAATTAATTGGAATCAACAAATGGCAACAGATTTCCCATCAATTCTTTCTACCTTCTGTTTCTTTTAGAAATTTCCTATTTCTACACTCCTTGGGTTTGTTTTCCTTCTATTTTGACCCAATGTCTCTTCTTTCTCCACTCAAACAAGGATCTTCCCTACTCTCTGCTTACAATGTTACTTGCTGCTCAGCCTCCCCTGTAGCCAAGACAGAATTTCATGCCTCATGTTATTGGGACATGTCTTGCTTTGGGCTGTGTGCTGCTTTCCAGACCAACCATTATCTCTCACACCTTACTGCATTAACATGTAAAGTTAATAAAAGAAAATGTAAACTGTTTTAAAGGAAACATCTGGTTTTTTCATCCTACAGTCAATTAGGAGCAGCAATTCAAAGGGAAAAAGATGTAAGACAGGACAATGCATGGAGTAACACAGCAGGAAAGACCATCTCTCCTTTAAGCAATAGGATTTTAGAGAACTGCTACAGAATAAACTCACCTCATGCATTGGGCTTATTCACAGGTTACTATTTTAAGCGCTTTGTTTTCAGGTAAAGCACCCCTGGATAACCTAGCAATGCTGAAAGTGCCAGGACTTGGAAAAATTTGTAGACAGCTCTACATTCATTACCTGTAGGAACTGCTGGGGGTGCTGGGTCAGCTGTGACTGAGCTGGCTGTTGCACTGTGGTGAGCTGCTGCTGATGGTCCTGCTGACTTTGTTGCTGCTGCTGCTGTTGTGTTATTGACAAAGTCTGTGGCTGCTGCTGCTGGGCAGCAAAAGTGGGATAAGCTGTCACCACCTGTCCCATAAACATAGTACTTGGTACCATTACCGCTCCACATGCTACTGGGGCCGTGACAAGTTTTGTTACAAGTTGCTGACCTTGAGAAAATCTGTTAATAGAAAAAGACATTTGGAGTCCCTTCAGGAAAAAAAAATATATGAAGCATCACATACACTTGAGAAAAGCAGATTTGTCAGAGGCATATTTTGCTATAAAAACATGGGTTTTGATAAGCCTGCAAACACATTACTTTAGGCAGTTTAATTTCAAGGGTTGTATCCATACCGTTGAAACACAAATTACATAATCTTTTTAATGCTATTTTAGCTCCTTTTGTATTTGGTGCAGCTGTATAAGCTTACCATTATAAAAAGTCATCTTAAATATAGGTCTTGAAGATTTACCTGATTGGTCTGTCCTGTGTAAAAGTGGTTACTGCAGCAGCATTCTGGTTGTTGTTCTGTGGTAAGCTAGAGGGAACCTGCACCACATTTCCTGCTGTTGGCTGAGAAATCACCATAGTGTTGTACAAAGGTGCTGAGACTGTGTTCTGTGACTGACTGGCAAGAGAAGACTGTTGATTGTGTCCACTAAGCACATTTTGTTGATTATGCTGAAAAGGAATTTTGACAAAGTAAGTTGAAAATAGCCAGGAACTACAGCTGTTCTCCACACTGTCACTGCCCATACTTCAAAACCACCAGCTTTTTTCTATTCAAATTAATTCTTAATTCAAAGTACACAAATATTTCTACTGACTGAGGATTTAGAGGTGGGACTTGACCTTGGACATCTGAGTCTCTTACATTAATTTCTTTTCCCGTTCACGTTATTTTTTTTCCCTGAATTTTTCAGCTACTTGCATACTGTTTATTCAAAATTATCTTTTTACTCCTTTAGCATTTCTGTGCCCAACTTAGAGTAAAATGTGCACATAACATCAAGAATTTCTTACTTGAAAATTTGGAACTAGCCTACTGCTGAGATGGTAAAATGCATTACTAGTCTGGCTCTTCACAAATCTCTAAAAGAAAGTATGGAATGCATAAAAGGGTCCAGAGGAGGGTGACCACAGAGATCAGATGTATATGGGGTCTCCATATACATAATGGTCAAAACTATTAGAAGTATTCAGCACGAAGAAACAGCTTCTGTGGGGATGCATGCTGTTGAGTGTTATGCCTCTGCTAAATTGTTAAGTTTATGGTATAAGTTAGGAGCTGTTTCTTTGTTACATTGTTAGGTTTAATATATAAGTTGAGTGCTGTTAAGCTTTTAGGCCATGTTCCTTTGTATCTTTGCCCTTGCTGTCCTTTTGTCACATGCACTGAAACATACACACACACACACACATACACACACACACACTCCCCTAGATAGGTCTCAGTTCACTTCTGTTTTGATTGCCTGGATTTTGTTTGGTTTTGCTGCTGCTTGTTTTTTCCTTATTGTGCCTTAACTGTCCTGTAAGTAGTAGAGTGAATCTTGCCAACAAACTTCGTCGTGCTGCCACTTAATATTAAATCAAGCTTTTGCAGATATCCTTGCCAATGATTTTTTTAAGCAATCTCAAACACTCGTTCATAACAGGGGATTGTCAGGGAAGCTGCTGTGTTTCAGCTATGGTTTTGAGCAAATATTCTATCCAGAAAAATCAGTAATAGAATTTTACCTGTGTTGCAGTACTCTGCAAAGGCTGCTGCTGTATCATGTGTGGAGTATTTATATGGCCTGTGTTCATCCCACTTTGAGTCTGATTAGTCTGAACAACTTGACCTTGCATGTTTATTGGTGTAAGCTGCTGAACAGTTGAAGAATTTCCAGAAGGAAGCTGCACAGAACCAAAGTTGAGTCCAGAAGCTGACTGCTGCAAGAACATCTTAAAAAATTCCACAAGTTATAGGGTCAGTATTCAGAGACTCAACTCTATCTGGTAAGAATCAGAATTCTAATTTCCAGAATTCTAAACATTAACATTCAATATTAGTTCTTAAAGAAAAAGCACCATTTAGAGACTAACCAGTAATGCAGTCTACAACTATCTAAAGGCAAAACATATTTGAGATGACACTTCTTTTTGTAGGACCTTCCTCAGTAACACTAAATCAGATGAAGAACATGTCTGAATTAGTACATCCAGGCATAGCATCAAGAATGTAATCTTCTCTGGCATTCAGGAAATCATCATGATTATACTGAACTTTCCAACACTGTTGTAATAAACAGAATTCAGCACAAAAATACTATGTTCTTTACAAAAAGTTAGGCCCAAGCCTACAACAAGGCAGAATGTGCATCACTGAAGTACTTTTTCTAGTTTTCACATTCCTGAACAAGGTCCCTCCACACTGCATGGAAAGGAGAGCTGTGAATCTCTCATTTTGAGACATGGATAAGGCAGTCTACTGCTGGCATGTTTACACTAAACATCACACAACACTGCAAATGGCACACGCCAGAAACTCCTACTCTTCCAACAGAATTTAAGCAACACACTCAATACTTCCAGGAAGTATTTTTTCTATTCTTTAGTCACAATCCAGACTAAAAATATTAAATTATTTCCTTAAAATGTATCTTAGTTTGAGGTGATCAAATTTTTTTTTGTTTGGTAAAGAAAAACCCAATAGGGTAATTATTTTCTTCCAAATATAGCTGCTGAAAAGACAGTGACAAAAATAGAAAAATATACACTGGTTAAACAAAATCAGAAACCATATAGTCAGCTGCTAGACTGAGTAATGCACCCTCTAGACTTCCTGTCTTTCTGGCTCAGTAACTCCTTCAAGTTTACCATGCAAAGTAGAGCCATTCAGCTCTGCATTCAGATAGGACAGTTTAAGAAACAAAGAAACAGGGATTTAACATCCTCAGAGCTAAAAGAGAAAAACAGATTCTGCAAATTTTGGATTAATATTCTAATGACTGCAAAACTTGGCAAGAATTAACAACCACTCCATCCTTTTATATTTAATTAGGTTAAGTGATAAGCTAGGCTTGACCTGCTCAACACTGGGGCATTTCCAGATACATTTGAAGCAAAACATCAGGTACCTCTGGAACAGCAGCTTCAGATACTATGGATTTTAGACATATTAGGCCCAGATGGCAGCTGACAGGGAATATGGAGGATCATGTTGTGGAATTAGGTGCCCAAGACACTTTTCAGCTGCCTAAATTCTCTACAGATGAAACCTGTAAGTGATACACTAACTCACCTGGAGTCCTTGACCATGAACAATTTGAAGCTGCTCTTGAATCTTACGCAACTCTTCCTGCTGCCGATGAATATTTGCCTCTATCATGCGTGTTCTTTGCTCTAGCTGGTCCTTTAGATGCTGCATAGCTCCTAATTGAGCTGAAAACTGAAACACAGGCTGTAGTGCAATGAATAAATTAAAAACTGAGCAAAAATTACATTTTATTCACAAGAGATAAGTACAGTGCTCCACAGAAGCAAAGAAATCAAGTATTGCTCTTCAAATTACTAATAAACCATAATCTGAGGACCAATTAATGAGAATGAAAACATCACAGAATCAACATTTAATTGATGTATGAGAACTGGTGAACTAAAAGAATTCCACAGCACAATAAATTGACTGGTGTCCAAATCACAAACATATATACATATGTGTGTGTAATTCACACGGTACTGTATATGTTAAAGCTCTCTTATGTTAAAGGTTATAATTGTGCCAGTTTAGAAAGAAAGATTCACCTAGAGCTAAAATATAAAAATAACTTAAGAATACCCTCAGTCACAAAAAGCTGAAGGCTGAGCCCACAGAGAAACTATTTGCCACTTCTGTTTTTCCTCAGACATCTGCTATATGCCCCAAGTCAGTATAACCTTTTGATACCTATATCCTGTTCTTATTACACAGAAGCATTTCACAGACCAAGCAGCCTTGTGTTATAAGCATATGCCTGAAAGCTGCCAGCCGAGTTGATGGATTCTTAAATTCATGCCCTAAAATATTTTAGCTTTAACTGTTTTTTGTATCTATGTTGCTAATGCACAAGGCTGAAAACTATATCTGTACAAATAACAGGAAGAAAAAATTAAAGCAAAAGTGTCAAAATACAGAATTTGCTCATTTCAAGAGAATCATTTGGCACCAAAGGACTCAATTTCTTAGCCCATGGATCCAGCCTGTCCAGATCCCTCTGCAGAGCCTTCCTGCCCTCCAGCAGATCAACAGTCTCACCCAACTGGGTGTCATCTGCAAACCCACTAATGGCGACCTCAATCCCTTTGTCCATATCATCAATAAGTACATTAAACTGGACTGAGCCCTCTGGAACCCCACTGGCTGCCAGGTGGATATAACTCCATTCACCACCACTCTCTGGGCCTGGCCATCCAAACTGTTTTTCTCTCAGTGAACAGTGCGTCCACCCAAGCCACAGGCAGCCCACTATAGCAAGAGAACAAGACTGTTTAAAAAATAATAAACAATAAATTCAGTTGATTCATACCTGAGTCATTCCAGACTGGAGCTGTAAAGTTGCAGGCTGAGATATTGCTGGTTGTGTTACAGGTTGTCCAAGAGACTGTGAGCTTAAGGACTAGGATTAAAAAAATTGTTCCATAAGCATAAGAGAATGAACTTCATATTTGACATGAAGTATTTCTTTAAAGAGTCAAATTTAAAACTGCATTATATGAACATATAATAGAAACTAGCAAATTGTTTCCTGAAATATCTAACCTTAGTTATTAGAGAATTAAAAAAACAAAAGCAATTGATTTATTATTTATACATAATAGACACATAATTTTTCTACTGCTAAAAATATATATAAGCAGTAGGTATAAAACAGAAATTACAACTACAAGTATTTCAGAAGTCTCAATTTCAACAAGTTTGGAAGCTGACACCTTTGATTTATTCTTAAACTAACTTTTTTTAGAAATATTATGTATTATATTTCTATATTAATAGAAATATATATATTAATATGTGTTTAATATTATAATGCATATTTTAATAAGAATTCTGTATATGAAGTGAATGTATTAGTTCAACAGGAAAACGAGCACCAAGTACAAGAGGCATGACAATTTCTCATACTACCAAGATTTCAGAAAAGATATGGAAGTACTCATTAATATGCTTAGTCATAAATTTGTATGAGTTCTCTATAGGGACACACAGAGCATTAAATTGGTAATTTTACATATATATATATATGTGTGTGTGTACTAAAAATCCAGAATCACAGAAAGAAGTTCTGTGTGAATGAAAGCAGAGATTCATTCACATTCCTTCAAATCCTAATGACAAAACCTAAATACATATATGCTTAATTATTGTATTCCTTTAAAATCTAGTATACCAAAATGGCAAAACGATGATGCAATTCTAAGATACGTATTCCAACAGAAACTCTTAAAGTTTAAATTATGCTTTTAGAAGAAATAAAACAAAGCTTATATAGATTTAATAACAGCTTTTAAAGGTGAACTCCACTGTTTAAGTACAACATTCTTCTCTGAAGTTACCTGACTGCTCAGAGATGATCTTCTTTGCGCAGTCTTTTCATGACCAGATAAGCCTTGCCTTGGAGGAGTGCTAGTGTCCACTGTCATTTTAGTTGGTGTTGCTGACAATGTTGAGAGTTAGAACAAAGAAACATCTTAATTTTTATCTCAATTCTGTAATGCAATAATCTAATTACAGAAAGCTTTTAATGAATAAAAAAAAAACTGTAAAGGCTTGGACTCTTTTTTTTTCCCCTATCAACCAGTAGTGCAATCTGATAGATTGAAATAGGGTGTACTAGTGTCTGATATTGAACTCTAGAAGGAAAAGTATTTTTCAGAGTAGTCTGCAGATCTCTGAACCATCATAAAGGGTATTTTCATGCACACTTCTCATAAAATGATTTCTAACTGCCAGCTATGCATTTAATAAAATTAAGTAGAGGAAGCCCTCATTAGGAAAGCACTTCTGTTTTCAATAATTGGTGCTTACATGAATGATCCGATACTGCAGTATGTGAAGATTTTCTTGAACTCCTGGAGGAAGCAGAAGGTGTGGGGCTGGTATCAAACCTTTCCAGTGCTTCTTTGAGACTCACTGTGTTTATGTGATTGTCAGACCCAGAGTCCTGACTCTGAAGAGACATACATAAACAGCAATTATTCATCTAATCCTGCACACAGTGCACATATCTGTAGAAAATATCTCAGACCTTTTTGTTTCTCATCAACCCCTTTACACAGGTGACCATGCAGAAGTAGTGGCCTGTTTGATGGCTGTAACCTCTGTTTCCATTTGAGGCTTTTATCCTTGAAAACCAAAGCTATATAAGCCTAGAAACAGAAATGCATACAGACTTAGGCCACAAACTGACCACTGAGCTGACCTCCTTCTGCAGGCACTCATTTCACTCTGAACAACAGTGTCATGAGTGAACTGCTTATTCCTTTGAGAAAAGATGAGTTTGTTCCATTAGGAGCACTGACAGATGGAACTTGTGAAACTGCCAAAGGAAAACATTTCTGAACTGTCAGACTAAAACAAGTCAGATCATCTCCACAAGCTGATAAGGCTCACTGAGCTTCCAAGGACATTAATTCAAAATAAATTTTGTATACTTTTAAGAAGCTAGACAGAGCCACACAGTTAAACAGCTTCTACTTTCCTACTGGGAACTCCTTCTTGGTGTGTTGACCTTGGTTTTTCAGATTATGAGTACTTCCAGTAAGGGAAGTACCATTTATTTAGGAATTTAACGCTGCAAAAATAAGATCTTAATAAAAACTTATGGGAGTTATAACTGTTGTAACTACATGCACATTAATTCTTGAAAAGAGAAGGGTGTTATAGGCAGAGTTAGACACTATTTCTAGACTTCCTTGATAATTTTCAATAGTCACATTATTTAGAGATGGAATAATTACTTTATTTGGGGACAAATGGGACAAAACACTTTTTGCTGCTGTATATTTGCTTGCGTATTATTTTTAGTATGTGAAGACGTAAAATAAAATTATATAAAATACTCACTTTATCTGCTGTTATCTCTGGGAGAGATTCCTCAATACCAAGTTCTCGTCGTCTTTCTGCTCTAACTTCTGCATAACTAGAAGAACAAACCAAAGATGATTACTATATCATGGGATGATTTAAAAAATACACCTCAAAGACCAAACTCATCAAACCTACATTGCTTATAAAGTATCTCAAGAAGTTTTCCAGTGATTCTTCACACTGCTATAATTGCTGTACCTCCAAAATACCATCAAGATAGCTCCCATACCAGTAGGATTACTTTAAAAAATAACCTACCTTACAACAGTGTGCGTACAGACAATAAACTCGGGTCTGGAATTCCACTGGTGATACGTGATATAGTAATGAGTTTGCAGCCAAATCCATTGTTGTCCCTTTGTGAGGAATCTGTAGTAACATGACTTCCCTTTCCCATATTGCATTACTATAAAGATGAAGAATAAAGTTTACTGTCTTGCCAGGTTGTAAATACTCCAATTACATTGAAAGAATATTATTTCCCAGGTTCATATTGCCCAAACCCATGTCTAAATCCAGTATGAAGACAATGACCAAGAACAGGTTCAAAAATTTTCCACCAGTTTTTGTACTTAATTAACATTATAAAGCCTTTTAAATGCCATTGGAAGAACTGGAAAAGTATTAGTCATAGAGCTATGCACTCCAATTTACCACAATGAAACCCCAGAATTGTTAAGATAAACCTAAATCTATTTTGTAGTTCTGTATTAAGAGAAAAAAAGATACAGAACAGCAGTATAATAATGTCAAATGAATGGGAGTAAAGACACTTCACACAAAATATCACAAGATTTCACCAGAACAGTTGATCAATTTAACAAACTTGCTTGTTTTAGTGACTTAGTTGTACTCACAATGCTCATGACATTTTGCCAGATTATCTAGATCATCCACATGATAATAATCATAGCCTGATGTTCCCAAAACTTCAAATGGAAGATAACCTATTATCGGAGGTGCCCTAATTAATAAAAAAATCAATGTCATTTTATTTTCACACACATGAAGGAATCTCAAACAAATCAGAATTAATTATATAAGCTTTCTTGTTTACAGTATATGCTCCAAAGAAAATTAAAAAATTAAACCCAACACAAGCCATTTAATGCTATTAAAAAAATAAACCCAACACAAGCTAGTTAATGCAGATTAGTGAACTCCTAATATTACAGACACCACTGTGATTCAGCTGCTATTGCTACTACACAGAAGGAACTGCACCTGTGATCCAAGAATAGGAACTTCCATTCTAAGCTGTGTCTAGATGTGAACTCTTCGTTGGGTTCTTCAACAGTGCACATTTCCTAAAAAGGGAAAAAAAATCTCTTAAGACTGCTCTATTCTAGTACCTAAACTCTTTCAAAATTCAGACATACCTAAAGTTAGTAGATAATTCCACAATAGTTATAATGTTATTTTTAGACAGCTTCATTGGTTTTGCTTGCTTAGACGCACAGTACTGAGGTAGAATCTAATCTGAATCTAATCTCAACTGCGCCAAGCGGATGCTTGGTTGATTTAAATGGACTAACCATGTCATGAGATTAAACTCAAATGCAGTATCTACAATCACAGTAGTACAAGCAGAAACCCACAGTTCCTGCAGTTATGCTTTTAAATTGTAACACACAAAAGAAGAGATGAAACATTCACACCAGTCTGATTACAGTCTGTGTTTATAATGGGTAAAACCCAACAGTAGTAAGATGGTCACATTACTCTTGAGTTTAGGAATACGATTCTTCCCTTTAGTGAACACAAAGTACTCTAAATCTCTTTGAGTGCACAGACATGTACTACAAATAACACACTATTCTTATGTTTGGAACTCATGAAAAGTAAAAGAATGGCTGGATTTCCATTACAACAGACCCTTAAGGTGTTCTGCACATAATTCTAAATGTATTCCACTCAAATGTATTCAGAGCATGTCAGCCAGCTTCTACTGTCCCCTTCGAGACAGGTAAAGATGCCCCACTGAGTGCTGTGCCTCATGCAGAGACAGTCACAACGCACCCCAAGCCAGCCAATTCTTTTGCAAAGTCCTCTAGTACTGCCTTACAAGAAGGAAGATGATGGAAGGAATACATGCACACAAATACACCCTTCAAAGAATCACATTAAAATTAAGAGATAAGTAAATCTTTCTTTTTTGAACACCTGCACACATTTGTCATTTGTAGGAGCTTGCAATGGTATTCCCAGTGCCAGGAGCACCCTGGAATCTATTGATGACCAGGTACAAGAGTTTCTTAAAGACTGCTAAGTGGAAGCTGCTGCTACACTGGCAGAATAATCGTAACAAGAGTGGACAGATGAGCACACTGCTGCCCTGCAAACATCTGTAACTAAAGTAGTCCTGCAGAAAAATACAGTAGAAGACCAACACAGGGACCACCTTTCTTTTCATTCTTTCAGGTTATAATCCAAAGAGATTAATTGCATACTTTGCAGTTTTTTAAATAGATCTGTGTTTTCTTTCTATAAAAGGAAAAAGTGACCATACCTAGGCAATGTTTTTTCCTCACATTCATCACTGTAAAATCTAAAGACAATGACTTAGAAAATGACGGAACAATGGATGTATTAGATGAAGGCAATGAACTAAACAACTCTGGGCACAAATTTATTACTGTTGATGTGAACTCCAGTCAGCAAGACTTAAGCTTCAAACCTGAAACTACCCCTAGAACCCAAAGCTCATCTACTTTTCTAAAATTACAGCATTTAATAAAGCACCACTCAAAGTAAGAGAAATGACAGAGCAAGAGTATATCCTTGAGATATACTTTTGATTTGTTGCTTCTTTTGATCTAAATATTTTGGCACAAGTCAAAACAAAAGTGAAGTGCAAGCAGTAAAACCACAGTAAAAACATAATGGTTAGAGAGGAAATGGCAGCAGGTTAGTATCCAATTACTCAATGCATTTATATTAATGATTTGCAGATATTCCACTGTAAAATACCCCTGGGCAGAAGCCAGCTTGTTCAACAAGGCGTCTTGTTGAAGTTGTCAACAAGGCATCTAGAAAAGAAAGGACTTTCATTTGTAACAAAAAGTATTCTGGTAAAAATCCTTTTGGCTGGATTAATCCTGCCTTCTTGATAGGATGCAATCATCAACTAGCCAAAATGCAAGACAAATATTTTAAAGAATGTGTGCAACCAAATGACTTCACTAGGGAGCAAAATTTGTGAGATGTCTTGTTGCAGAAGTGGTAGAGTCATATGCATAAAATAAAAGCGTAAACTTTAAAGGTGCAAAAAGCATTGCATATGCTGAGAAATTACATTTGGGAAAAAAATTCTGGAACCATATGCCAACTGAAAGAAAGAGAATAAGTGACAGATGAGCAGGAATGTTCTACCTTAAATAATGCAAGTACTGAAACACACATCTCTTTACTGGCTGCATCACACATTTGTTAGTGAAGTTACAGGGATTTTAAAATTCCTGACATACACTAATTTGCTAAAGTCTAGTCAATGCTAGCCTCAGTAATAACAGAAGGTATTAAGTCTTTAATGTAAGTCTTCTTCAAAAGATTTCCCAAATAAACAGCATCAGTTGAAAGTCTCCAGAGGATCTTAAAAAATTTGTAACATGGAAGCTTCCTTGGGCATTAAAGGCTCAGAGATTCAAGTACAGGAATGGAGCTTTGGCCAGAGTATAATCTGTAAGGCTTTAGCCTGGAGGAGACTGAGACATTTGAAGATCATAAATGGATGTTCCTCAGCTTCCAGAAGTAGGAAACATAGAAGTTTTACTATGAACTGTCAGACTTTAAAAGACAAAAGCAATGTCCACATGTGCAAATTTTTTTTCCACAATTATTTCATTAAGCAAAAATCCCACATATAACATCTCTACCAACTGCAGACATAACAGGAAGAATAATTTTTAGACCTGCATGGGAAGAAAAGTGTCACATGAAAGATTTCCATAGCTTCAGAAAGAATAAACTTTCTCTGGCATAGAGTCTGGAGAGACAAAATCCCTATTCAACCCGACAGAACTGTAGAAATTTATATGATTTCTCCACAGGCTCCCCACTATGCTTTTGAAGTGCAAAGTATATAAACCATGTCTTCAGAAGCTACTACCAACAGTCTTCAGCTTAAGACATCAGTGCTTTAAACTTAAGCGGCAGAATGTTTAAATGTTAAGAGTTCTTGTACTACAGACAGTAGTTTAACATCGAGCCACATACATTTCATGGCATTACCTTACAGCTGAATTGCAAAAACAAACATTAGATAGCAGACTATCCTGAACCTTGATTCATGTATTTCTATGAAAAATACAATCGGAATCACAGTCACAGACTATACTGTACTGTATCCTGAGTATTTATTTCAACTGGTTTTGGAGAGAAGCAGGATTATACTTACTGAACTACAAGTATCATATCCATTCAATTCTAAACTTGGAAAGGCACCTTCACACTGTACATCAGCAGCTAAGCAAAATGTTAGGTTTAAAGCACTGACTTGCTGAATAACTGCACTGAAACAAAAGATTTCTATTACCTCAAACCCAACTTCTCATTACTGACAAGTAATGAAGTAATGAAAAGCTTTCATTAAGCCCTCTGAGATTGATTTGTGTCAAACTGCAGAAAGACCACCAGCAACAAAAAATTCATACCCAAGTTTCAACTAAAATCAATCATTTCTTGAAGTGTAATCTTTCATACTGTTTAATTCATCTTGCTAAATTATATTCCTGTGGACTTATTTCTTGCATATTTCTCTTTTATGTTACTATTTAAAATTAGTGTTCACCACAACTTTGTTTGATACTTTGCATAAAACTTAGTCTATTTTAAGTAAGAAACAGACAATTTCAGTTTCATATAGTAGAATTCCTTATGGTTTTCATGAATATTTTTAATGTTGTGTGCATTCTCTCTGAAGTTCTTCCATTCAGAGTCTATTTAAAAATGATATAAAAGTGATTTCATTTGTACCTACCTTGATAAATTGAGGTGTAGCTAATCTAACTGTGGCTACAAAGCAAACTTTCTCTTCATATGAAGGCCGGTGTGATCTCTGAATAGTTCCTTCAAAACCATTGTGCGCAGAGTTGGGAACTGAGGGAAGACAGAGGAGATGACAACACACATGACAATATAAGTATGGAGGGAAATGACAGTAATATCAGAAGGTAAGTGGCCCAATATTTATCTGTGGTTTGCTTGTAACTTAACAGGCATTCAGAAAAATGCTCCATATAGACACTTACAAGCACAGGAATAGTACCACAGTAGTAGGAGTAGTTACATAGCAGTAATGGGAACATGGCCAACAAGTAACTTTCCCAAAGAACTAAAACTACCGCTAATATGATATTATTGCTGACAAAGCATTTTCAAGGAACTAGTAACAGTTCTAATCCTTGCTAACTGGTAAAAATAACTGGATTACACTTTCTTAAAAATACCTTTATATTTTGGCTAATTTTTTTCTTTTGTACTCTGAGGTAAGTATTTATTTTCTTGACTTTCCATCACATTTAAGCAACAAATGCTGATGACATACTGAGTAACAGAAGAATCAAAGGCACAATTATGGGAATGAAAGAATCAGGATACTGAGCTGGGAACAAATTCCACTTATTGAATCATAGAGATGGAATCAAAAGGAGCCAAAGGATGGGCTAGACCTCGAAACAGAGTACCCTTATCTTTCATTTCCAGCAGTTACCAATTTAGTTTATATTTACTAAGGTCTAGAGATGGTGATTTCAAAGCACTTTGAGGCTTTTCAAAGCCCGATTGGCTTTAATTCAGCTCTAGATTGGAACTCCTACTTCTTCATGCAGTTTCATCTTACAGCTCCTTGCTCTTTCCATCAGAAAGAAAATGGACAGTTTCTTTTCTTTTTACCTTAGCCTTTGTCCTTTGTTCTTCAGAGTTTATCTTGCCTTGAGCTCAGTGTGCAGTGGGATTATTTAATGTTATTTAGACTATATTTTAGAAAGGCTTTTGCATTTTCTCAGCTTGGTGGCTGGTCACGGTCATGTGATCTTGTTCAGCTTACATTCCACAGTAACTCCTTTTCCTAAGGGACTGCTGTGTGGCTGGCTGCAACCATCCCTGTTCATATAGTTTGATATTCCTAAATGTAGTAACTTGCATTTTTTCTTAGTCAATTTTTCTGGGTTTTTAGCCCAAATTAATTTATTTTCTAAATTTGGGGATGAATTCTTCTGTTGTTTTTGGTGGATTATTTCATAACTGCAATCAATGTTCCATTTTAATAACATTAATGAAAATGCTGATCAAATCCAGAAGTTGTCAATTAAAATTGCACTTTGATGGTGAACACTGGTAACCTTTCCAATCAGTTTCTGCAGCTACCCTCCAGCAATTTCAATTAACATGTGCTTCCCTTACATGTTTGTGAGAAGAGAATATGATAACAAAAACATATTTTAAAAGTCCATTATTTGTTTGTGCTTTATCCTCTTATCCACACAGTGTGTTACCCTTTGGTAGAGGAAGCTGAACTGATTTGATGCTATTTCTACCTGAAAAATCCACAGTGATTGCCATTCAATTCCCTGCTAGCTTCCTGAAACTCATACATAGTTTAATTATTTGTTCCAAAGTATTTCCAAATATTGAATCGCAACCAATAGGTCTGCAGTTTCCCAACTCCTCATTCCAAGACTACCATAATATTTGGCCTTTTCAGGACTGTTTCCTGTCTCTCCTATAACAATATACAACTGCATTTGCATTAAGACTAAACATCTTCTCATTTTGTGAGAGAAACACTGGTATCAGATAAAAAAACCCACAGATTTATTTACAGCATACTGGTTTGCATAGTATTTCTGGGTGAGCTTTCTAAGAATCCACTACTGATGACACTGCAGAACCCACTTGGACAAATAAACCGGCTTCTCAAGTAAATAGCACAACCTGGCCAAACAGATTAGAGATGCACTACAGAGAAAGATTATACATAGCTAATAAAAATAATTTCAGCGGAAGGGAGTAGGAACTCAATGCAAAAAACTGTACAGCCCACCCACTCATCTGAGTGGTAATTCCTGTCAAGTGACGCACAGAACGGAAATGGGGGGGAAAACCTACATTTTCCTTCCCAGTTTCCTGTGCAGGTACTCAGTATCACTAATCTTCAAGTTAGTCACCTGCTTAAATATGGCTTATGCTGAACTAAATTCAGACTCTTTATGTTAAAGCATGTGCTTAAATTTCTCTTACATTCTTTTAAACAATGTTTTACAGAATACTAGTTTTCTTTAATTTAAATCATTAAGCACCATTGCTACATTTTGCATTCAAATACACAGACCTGTAATACATGATAGGCAGTTTTTCTTCTTTTCCATTACACCAATATAGAAGTGACAAAACTGCTTTAAGATCTTCTTTTGAAAGCCTGATTTTAGTTCACCTATATTTTGCACCATAGTCCCAAGTCAGTTTAGCTGTGGAGCTGCCTACGTATTCCATTCCAACACTGCTGAAATTACTTACCATGATTCAAACACTTGAAATTTCCTATAAATTTTACATATTCATATGTAGGTTGCTCTTTTGGATCTATTGTTCCTCGCAGCATATGGCAACAGAATTCTAGCTGATTTTTTGCTAGAAAACAAAACAAAACAAAACAAAGTAATAGGCTGTATGCTTGATGCTACACATGCATCATGAAATGGAAAGTAGGAATAATTAAACTGAATACAACTGAGGTACTGTAAGTGTAGTTATTACAGCTGGCTACAGTGATGCCTTGCAGTGACTACCTAGAACAGAGGCCAGACAAGATTAAGAGAATAAAGTGGGTATATTAAAACAGGTACACCTTGGGCAGTCAGAAGCCTTCCAGAGGATACACCCAAGACAGACGACAGTCACGAGTTTTTCAGACAGATATACATATTTGGTCCATTTACATACCAGGGGTTAATCCTCCAATTACAGCTTCAGGTAATAAAGTCATATACCCCCAGTTTGCTCCCTTCCTCCCTCACAATTCACTTTTCTTTACAATTTTCGGGACCTGAGGCTGTAGGGTGTCCTTGAACCTCAGGCCTAGAGAGATTGTTCTGTCTGACCAAAATGTGAAGACATTTAACTAACTTTATATGAAGTTTAGAGTTATGCACTAGTGCAGTACAGGATTTGAAAAATATAAAGGGTAAAATCATAAGGCATCAACAGTGTCTGCTTTTAACAGCATGACAGTAACTAACCTAAGAACTCCTTTAGATTTTGTGCACAAAGGGCTTGAATATTAGTGACATGAAAACCGCTGAGAACTAGAGCTGTATTAAAGAAAATGCCCTGAACTTAAGTTCACTAAAGCACATGCTCCCAAACTCCAAAAGGCTGCTATGTATTTATAATTGCCAACTGCTAAACTGACTAACTAGAAGCTCTATAAACAATATGAACATTTCTTACAGGACAGAACAGGAAACTTACAGACTGAAAGGCAATATAACTTTGAAAATTCTACTCTAGAGCAGGGGTGACACAAAGTAATACTTCTATTCGTCAGAGCTGAAGAATACGTGTTTGCTTAAATAACACTGTGTCTTGAGTTGACTGTATGATGCTTTTATCCCCAATCGTCTTGTTCTGTTTATACTGAAGAATAAGTTTTACACCTTTAAGACTCTTCCAGAGAGTGAAGAGGGGAGGGAAGAAGCGGGCAGTTTGTTTTTCAGACTGCACTCACTCCTCCACATTCCTGCTCTTGGACTGTGTTGTCTGCAGATGTACAGACAGCAAGACAGAGCTCCTCTTTTCTCCTTTTTTTTTTGCTTTTAGTTAGTTTTAGCTAGCTGAAGCAAAGAGGTTCCTTAGACTGTGATTTTTCCTTTTTCTTAGATCTGTTCAAGCCTGCTCTGGACTGAACACCCAGAAGAGCACCGGCAGCTCCACCTGAGGCCCCTTGGCCGGGCCTGGGCCGCGGCATTTCCAGCACCAGAGAGACTGATCAGAAACTGAGTGAGACAAACTGCAACCTGGGGAGGGGACTGTTCTGAGTTTGTTTTTTTGGAGCAGTGAGAAGTTATATTGTTTGGGTTCTATTGTTTAATAAACAGGTTTCTTTCCACTTTTTCCCCAAAGAAATATTTTCTCCCAAACCAGTTAAGGAGGAAAGAACAATTGAATCTGCTTTCGTAGAAAAGCCCCTTTAAAAGTTATCTCCCAAACTTGCCCTAAACCAAAACACACTGGAAAAACTGATCCTGTATAATTCCAAGTAGATAGTTTTAACACAACCACTGTACTGGTTTTATCTGGGATAGGGTTAATTTTCTCCATAGCAGCTCACATGTTGCTCTGTTTTGGATTTTGACTAGAACAGTGCTGCAAAGACAGGGATGTGTCCATTACTGCCCAGCAGCACTTGCACAGCGCAAAGGCCTTCTCTGTATCTCCCTCTGCTGCACTGGGGAGGCTGGGGATGCACCAGCAGCTGGGAGGGGACACAGCAGGGAGAGCTGAACTAAGGGATATTCCATACTGTATGGCACTGTGCTCAGCAATAAAAGCTGGGGAAAGGAAGAAGGGGGAGACATGGGTTTATAGCATTTGTCTTCCCAAGTAATCATCACACACAGCCCTGCTTTCCTAGAGATGGCTGAGCAACTGCCTACTGACCAGACAGAGCAAATGAATTCTTTAGTTTGCTTTGCTTGTGAAGACAGCTTTTGACTTCACCTTCAATCTGCCTTTAACACAACACAAAAGTTTGCTCACTTTTACTCTTCTGATTCTTTGCCCATCCAACTGAGAGGAGTGAGTGAGTGGCTATGCGGGGCTGAGCTGCCTAGAGGGGTTAGCCCAAAATAACTACTTACATTTTAAGTATTCCGGTGTCAGGGAATCACTTTCCAGCAGATGAGAAGACAATATTTTATAAATTTCTGAATGTTCCCCCTCTGGGATAAAATTAAATACACTCTGATCCACAAGATCAGACTGAAAGAAAAAGATTTAGTAAGCATTAATTCAAGATGTACAATGCCACAAAGCCTACTATTTTAATGCAAAACAATTCCACAGTTCATTACTGACTCAACAAAGCCACCTGCTAGAATACATATTAGTAATTTCCAAGAAAAAACCTCAGTCTGATATGCCTGCCCCACGGAGGGTGGTAAATGAATTCCTTGCTTTGATTCACTCGCATACATGGCTTTTGCTTTACCTATTAAACTGTCTTTATCTCAACCCATGAGTTTTCTCACTTTTCCCCTTCCAATTGCCTCCCCCATCCCACTCAGGGGTGATGAGTGAGCTGCTGGGTGAGGATGAGTTGCCAGTTACCATATTTTATAATCAGTTCCACAGCTATGGACACAAAACTGCGAACAGCAGAGATGGATGCAGCGAAACGGAACAACTATTATATACATAAATGCGTTTGGTTAAGTATTCAAAAAAGAGGAATCATAAAATGTCTGTTTAGAATTCATAAATCACATCTAAAAGCCAGAAACAAGAACCTGGCGTCTGAGAAGCTGGCAAATTCTACTAAAAGAAAAAATAAAAATCACAATCACCTGCATATTTTTAAAAATTCTCACACTGTTATCACACATACCTTAAGAGAATTTATTTTGTCTCTTACCGCAGTAAGACAACTCGCTTTTAAAGAGAATTTGTCCTTCTCTTCTAGGAAAGCACTCAATTTAATTCATCAATTGCTCTCACTGATTAATTTGCCTCACTTCAGAGTAACATTATTCAAAACTTTAAAAACTAGAATGTTACATGTACCAGTGAGCAATGTTACCCAGATTAAAGTGAATATGATAAACCCACAAATATATAATGAACTCAAAAAGCAGAACCAGCAGCAATGTATTTATCAGAGTGCTTTGTCAAGAAAGAAGTAAAAAGCAGTTTAAAAAATTTCAATTATTAAGATCTTTTGTAATACTCTTCTGACTCATGTAGAGGCTGAGAACTCTAAAGGGCCTCCTGCAATCAACTGTTACACTGAAATTGATGCCAGGCACTTCATAATCCTTTCTAACAGTGTGCTGACTGCATTCTGCATTTCCAAAGGAAATGTTTAATATATAAGAGAGACCAGTAGGAAGCAGTTGTGCTGAAGCAAAAATCAGAAACATTAAAACATAGCATACATCTGTCCTAGAATGCCAAAAAGGCCAACAATTAATTAGTACTCATATCAGAACACCAATCAACCACAAAAAACTGATAGGTTACTGAAAGCAATTTGTTACTTACTGGCAAATGTTCAAGTAAGGGAGTTACACTTTCAGACACATAAATTATATTTCCATCTGTCATAATTGCTAAAAAAAAACCATCAAGAGCCTGAAATTAAACATAATGGGCAGTTAAATAAAAAAGAAGCAGAGCATACTAAAAATGTTAAGCTATAATCAATACAGAAAATAATACAGACCATTTTTACTTTAGTTTATTACAGAAATGGGAATGTCTTTCCCTATTGAAAATCCTTAATCTTATTTTTACACTAAAAGCATTACAATTTCTATACAGTTCTGTTGTTAAATAATCTGTGGTTTCAGAAGCAAGTACATATATAGACAGCTACTGTTTTCCCCAACTCCCACTCTGCCTGCCTGTTATTTTTAATTCCATCACCATTTTAGACATCAGAAAGCTCATAAAAATGAGCTAGAGACAAAAGCAAGAAGATGTGGGAAAACTATGAGAAGAACAAGTAAAACAGCTGGCAAAATCAATGAATTTTAGTATTTAAAAATCTCAATATTCCCAATCTCAAATGTAATGAGATTTTATTGCGAAGTTGTGAGATATAGTTCTGACTGCCTTATCTTCTACTGAACTCAAATTTCTTTCCTCTGAATACAACATGTTTCAGTTGAAAACTACCAACAGAAGCATGACAACTGTATTTCTAAATAAAATTTTAAAGCTCACACCTTTGTAAAAACCTCTTATATCAGAGGATTTTTTAAAAAAATCTTTTGAATACCAAAACCCAGATTTTTTTTTGTAAGCAAAGGTTTAACTATGGAATGAAAATAAAAAAGTTTTTGTTAATTTGTAATATTTTTCATTTAACTATTATTAAAAATTGTTTCACTAACAAGATATGACTTATGTTCATTTTTAATGAAAAAATAGCTTATACTTAAAGTTTCTTTCTGTAGTTTTGCAACTAATCACGTAATCTTCAAAATAATACTCTCATACAAGTTTTTGAAAGCATAGCAAATAAAGATATTAAAACACTTACTTATTGCTCACAAGTTACATGGATATGTTATGTTTTCATAATTAGGATTGTTAACTTATGCACAATAATTCTTTCTCTAGTACCTTCCTTCTGCTGATAATTTAAAATATCCACTTGGACAGTAAACACCTTCATTTATGGACTTGCTCTGTTACTACATTTATTTAATTGAAAATGTAGTTCAAAGAAAATCTGCTTTCCTGAAACTCTGAATACATAGGATTTTTGACGGTTTATCTTCAGGAAAACATATAGTTACAACCCAAATATGAGAATAAAAAGGTATGTCATCAAACTGCAAAATTTCAGAATGGAATGACTCCTGGTGAGGAATTATTCTACTCCCAGAAAACCAGAAATAATATACCTCTAACATTAACTGTGTGAACTCTTCATTACTAAGGAATGTTGGTTTCCAGTCCTGTCGAATTTCACTGGCGTCTGATTGTGCAGTAATTTCTACAATCAAACACATACACAGGATAAGGATTAATACTTCCAAAAGCCATTTTTTCCCATAAACTACATATACACAGTTAAGAAAGTGCAGAAAGTTCTCCAGTCTCCTCTGTTGTTCATTCATTATATATAGATATTGCTCCTTAAAATGTCTTCTCCCATGTCATAATTAAATTTGTTTTCTCTTTCCTTCAACCAGTTTGTGCTACAGTCCTGCCAGACTTCAAGGTAATACTGAAGTAATGGACTTTGATAATGAAAAAATACTATGCTTTCCTCTGAGAAAATAATAAAATGTTTTATTAAGAGTGTTGTTTACAAAGTTTCAGAAAGCCAAAATTCCTGATGTGCTTATGTAATTTAAATGGCTAATACTCCAGTATCTTGGCAAATCCTTGTCATTCTGACCCTTGCAAAAAAAAAATAATTGTCATTGTCCCTTCTCTTCTTCCGGCTCTTTTCTGGTTACACTTTAAAAGGAGTCGTTTTTCAGCAAAGACTGTTAAGTGCTCTATGACAAGCTCCACTCCTGAATGCCTATCTGTTGCAAACACACAGGTGAGTTTGGACATAGATGTAGAGATTATGTAGAGATTCCTGAAGGAGTTGAGAAATATATAGATTAACTTCCATATACAGGTGAGAGGATCAACAGCTGCTAAGCAAAGGCTGACCCTGGGTTCTGAAAGTGATGCTTCCTTATCAACCAATAACTGAAACAAGAAGCAAGACCTCGCAGCGCTTCAGTTTTGATGAATAACAAGGGCATCACAGAAGTTTTAAGAACAATATTGGACAAGCAATTAAGTATTCAGACAAATCAAAAGAACCAAACCAATTCTTTAAGGTTTTTGATTTCGAAGACAAATCTGTACAAAGATTGTAAGCTAGAGTTTTAGTTCAGACGGTTTAAAGAACCAGAAAACCTGGAATTAAACTATGCAAAGGGCTGGAGCAGTTTGTAATTTTGTTTACCACACTGAAGGGGGAAAACTTGACAAAAGAGCTTTAGACTTAACTAAAAGAACAGCAAACAACAGCAACGTCATGCAAGAAACTGGCCAAAAGTGGAAAGCTGCAAGAAGAGGTGAAAAAAACAACAAATAAGATTTTCCAATTATCAGCTCTTACAAAACATAAAAATTAATCAGGCTCTTCCAATCTGTTTTGAAATGGTAGCATAAAGCAGAAAAAGTGGGCTGAAGAATAAATAGAACCTAAGTATAACCTCAAATGTAGCTTTGATAGATACTGAACACTGAAGGGCAAGTCAAAGGACATAAAAACGAAAAGCTCTGCCACCAAAGTGGAGGCAAAATTCCAGGAACTTAGTGCATTCATTCCACAGAACACAGATAATCTTCACTTTTAACTGGGAAAGTCTGATTCATTGGCTCATTCTGGCCCTTATAACCATCCTACTTCAGAATTAAAAATACTGTCTTTTGCACTAGAATGGATTTATGCTAAATAAAAGCTCATGTTCATGTCTTTAACACACCATTCTGAATTACCACAAGTACAGGTCTTCTTTTACATTTTCCATCATTAGAGCAAGTGTGATAGAGGCAAACAGAGCTAAGCAACACAAAGAACATGTTTCACTTGGTACCTTCAGAGAACTGCCTAGAAATTCTGTCAGAGGGTTGCACCCATAGATAAATGACAATAAGGTCACATTCCTGAGCTAGGTAACAGAAAGAGCATAACCAAACTCACACATTAAACTTCAGTCTTCAAGTTCTGTATCTGAAGTAACTCTGCACCAGCACTGAGAATTCTCAAAAGAAATTGCTAGCCAAGCTAAGATCTGTACCATTTCTCTGTGGGTTGTAGGAATATCAGTCTACTACCTGCAATTATTCTACCTCAGTATTTGTTAATTTTAAAAAATTTCTTGTTTACAAATTCAAAGAAAGATGACAGGCAATATTAATCAAAGTGAAGCTCTCAGTGATACAATTTCAGTGTGTTTAGCCTCCTGTATTTTGGCCAGTGAGAAATAGAATCCACACTTGCCAACAATCAATTCAGAAAGCTCATCTGGAGCTGGTGCCACAGTACCTAACTTGGATAATCTGGAGATAGTCCAGAAAGAACCAGAGGCAATGCAGTTAAATCCTGGTGGCTGAAAACAGTAGGATTTCAGCCATAAAGCAGCTACTCAGTGCTGAACAATCCATTTATTGCTAGTCATTCAGCTTTATTGTAACATATCCAAGCACTTCAGAAGATAAAATATTCTTCTGAACTTTGCCAACATTTTGTCCAAAAACATATTTTAATGTAAAATATTGCACAGCAATGCTAGTAAGGACTGGCAGCCAGAGCTTCAGGGAACTTAATATGATACGTGCAGTCACACAGAACTGCATTCTGTCATACCAAGTGAAGGACAGAAGTGCCATGCCTTGAAAGGCAACCATCTCCAGAGCTGCTTTTTGCCCCTTTATTAAAAAAATCAAATCTCAGAAAGCACTTTGAAGAAAAAAATAATATGGCTGGTGCTGCTGGCTGGCTGACACACATTTGTTCTGCATTCTATGTTTTGTGTCAGGAATCACGAAAATAAAATAATTTTGAAACAGAACTGATTTTCACAAAGCCTTATAACCTAAAGAACTGAATTTTACACAAGAGGGGCCTTCATACTGCTTTTCTTTTTGTTAAGAGACACACATATCTCAGAAAATTAAAACAGCATAATCAGTATTGAATTGGAAAGAATATCCCCAACCCTATGAATTCTTATATGAATTATACCCCCCTCCTTTCTCAATTGAGATATGTTTACAATTTTATTAGCAATATTCAGTACACATTTGGTGTTACTGGAAACATAATGCTAATGCAAGAGATGTGCTAGGGCATGGAAAAACATATACCTCAAATTAATTGACACACATATTGTTGATAATTACATAACTATTCATCCACTTAATAGCTTTACTCATTTTATAACCTTATACCTACTTCTTTTGACCCTACTGCTTTCTAGATAGTATGTATTCCAAGAAATTACCCAATGAAATTATTTAATTAGAAAAAGAGTCCATAGTCTTCAGTTTTCATCTTATTCTTGGCAGTGTGAACCACAAGGTGCCATATTAAGAACAAGTGTAGGAGCAGGAACAGAGATTTTTTTTCTATATATATATAATATCTAACAGCCATAAACAAGCATACATTTCGTGGAAGAATTTTTTTCATGACAGAAATAACAACCCTCAACAAACTTCGATACAACATATCTGGGTATATCCCACCATCAGCTGATGCAAACAGCCAGAGAAACAAAGCATAGCAAGGATGTTCAAGGATATTGATAATTTTGACATTTCACATGACCTTTAAAGAACAACACACACACACACACATACACTCAGTGGCTTATAGATCCATGCATACATTTTGAAACTTTAAAAGTTTAGGTAAAAGTATTTATAGATTTTTCTGGCATTTTTTTCCCAGCTAAAAGTGAAAAAAAAAAAGCCAAAATGAAATGCCCATACTCCTGGTCTCTATGCCCCTGTGTTTCACTTTCTCTTGTCAAGCAACCAACTCAGAAACATTGCTGGAAATCACAATGCCCTATTGCCTTATCACCTTTGTTTAAGCAGCTTGTTGTGTAGGCACTTGACATGACAAGAAGGAGCACTAACTTCTCTTGGACTAGCTTTTCAGAGATTTATCTTGCTTCCTGTAGGACCCAGAGAGATTAATCAAATGTTTAATTAAGGTTATCTAAATAACCAAGTAAGTATTTCCAGCAAGTACCCCCAATGAAATGGATCAGCAGCTTTCCTGTGAAGCAAAACTTCTAACAACTTGCACCAACATCTGTCCAGAACAAAAAACTTAGAGGTTATTTCAAAAATAGATCTTCTCTTTGTGAAACAGATTTAATTGACAACTATGGGACAAAACAAATAGTACTGGCTTTTACACAGTTTCATCTCTGCTACCTAGATGATCTTAAGAATATCTTTCTCCAGAAGTGCTTCACATCTTTTTGATAAATTCCTTAAAAAAGCTAAAAATTTTTAATATTTTATGTAATAACTTATCATTAAAAAAATTAAGAATTTATAAATAACGTTTATTGTTACCTTTGTGCTTCCGTAAAAAGTCAATGCTCTTCTGCAGCACAGTGGATTTATCCATCTTCCGAGCATTACCTGGAAGCATGGAACCCAACTCTTTGATAAGTACATTAAACTGATCTCGACGTTTCTTTTCGGACTTGTTTCGAGACACTCTGAAAAGCAAATCAGGAAATGTTTTATAAAAACCATGAGACTTTCTTATAAGCTGTATACTACTTCCAGGTTCCTGAAGCAAACAGCCCCTTTAGAATTTCTGTTGTAACTGCCACGAAAACACCTACTCCGTATCTCAGACAACATTTTTGAAGAATGGCTTCCTCCTCAAGGAACAGTGCAGTGAAGCCTTTGAAATAAAGTATCCTTTTACAAAACACGAATAACTGAACCACAATTATAAACATACAATATACCTGAAAGATCACAGTAGAAGATATGCTGTTGAGTAATATGTTTATTTGTAAGAGTAACTATTTTATTGTTTAGAAATCACACTGGTAAATTAAAGCATACAAGTATAGGATCCTTCTTAGCTTTAATAACTTTGAAATTTACCTTTTTGCTTTATCTTTGTCATCTTCTTCCACCAGCCCATCAAAAATGCTTCCGTCATTTCTGAAAGAAATGAAAAGAAATAACTGTTGGAGTGGAAATTCCTCTCCTTTCAAGTCCAATCACAAAGAAGGAGGAAGGGGAAAGAGCTGACTATTCACCATCATCATCTCCATTACATCAAGAAAGCAACTGTTTTATGTCTCACAAGGACCATCATCAGTAACCTGAAGCTAAGTGTTCTATGTTCTGTTTGCATTTACTAAAGAAAAAGCAAAAAACCCCTTCTATTTCTGACACAACTGTTTCTTAAAAAAAACTTACAGCCCTATATAAACACTTACTTGAACAATGCTTAAATTTGGTTTTCTGCCTTCTCAATTACCTACCCTTTTGAAAACACGGGACAGGACATATGTAATTTAGTTTTACTTACTGGCAATTTCTATTCCAATTATTGAAAATGTATTTTTCTTAAATTATGAAATACTATTAGTGGAAGAGTCCTAAGGAATATGCTATACTTTGTCCATATATTCAATTTCATAAATACATAACTAATATCAATGTTAAACAGTAACTATTCATTATATTTTCTTCCTCAATAAGTATCACATAAATTTCTTAGCTTGACAACTGTCCATCTACTGCTAAAGAGGTGTTAAAATACCAAAATAAGAATGTGATTTCCTTTGAAGATGCCTCAGTATCCTTCATACAATTCCTTTGTTTCACTTCCTTTTGCTTTGAAAGTGAAGTCAAAACTGTTCTTCTGTTTTCCAAAACTGCTGCGTAATGGACTTTCACATGTTATTTCTCTAACTTCTCCCTGCTTTCAGTCTATTTAGTGCTGTCCACACTGACCCCTGTGTGTTTATCCTGGAATTTCTTATCCAAATGTTTCCTTCTCTTAAGCCAAGTAACCTTTCTAAAATGCTTACCTCATCTCTCTGATTTATAAACCATCAGGCAACTGTACTGTACATTACGATAAGCAGTTATGTTAGGAAGTTACTATTTTGTATGCTACTACATAAACATCAAGCTTTTAGAAGCAATTTATATATCTAAAAGGCTGAAGTTTCAGTGAGATGCCACAAAATTTCATTAGAAGAACTGACAAGTTAAACAAGCATTACAGAAGTTTTAGCTTTTGCTTTTATTCTTTTTTTTTTAATTGTGTTTAACTTGACATAAATTAGATGCAAGTTTCATTTCCCTAAGTCTCTAAAATGGTAATATACAGGATATTAAGTACAGATGTTCACCTAAGCTGCTAAGAGAGTGCAGCTCAAGGAATCAAGTAGAAAATATACCTCAGCTATTACTTTTCCCTTGAAATAGGTTAGCAGGTCCCTTTACTATCATCTACAGCAACACTAATCATTTAAATATATTTGCTTTTCTTAATCAAAAACTGAAGTACTAAAAAAATTAAAAGTTCAAGTAAACGTTAAAAATCAGCTCAATTTGCACAGATGTTGTCCATGGCTGAAAGCAAGTAATGCATTTTAAGATTAACCTCAAGCAAATGAAATCACTGTTTCCAGTGACTACAAAATGACACATCTAACAACTACCAAATTAACTTTGTCAAAAATAATGAATCACTCTTTAATTTTTGCATAAGTTAACATCGAAATGTATTAACCATACAAAAAAATCTATTAAAGAAAGAACTGAACAGTAATTCTCCCAAAACTCTCCATATCTATTAACATACCTGTCTGCAATGGAGCTCATTTTATGGGTGCTTATGGTAAAAAACATAACATATCACACTTTAGTCTTGTGGTAGACATTTGTACGCTTGCCTACAAGAAAAGAAATAACATCAAAATGAGAGAAAAAAATGTGATCTTTGTTAGAGCATACTGACATTTTCATTTGCTCCCAATCCTCCCATCTCTTCCAACCTTCTTCTCTGTCCTCCTACCTTCTCTAAAGCAGTCTCCATTTCCAGCATAACCTGGGGCTTAATATCTCATTTTACAGGACAGAGCTGAAGAGAACATTATTAAAGGCTACAGTAAATAAGTCTCTACTAAACTAGTAGAAACCTTTTTATGACTCTGAATTCAGATATAGCTTTTAATTTTTATTTTAACTTTTTCCTAAAGAACCCTCGTAAGTTTGAAGGCTGAACAGATGTTAAATACACTTAGCAGTACTTTCTATTTAGAAACAGTGCAAACAGAAAGCACTTGGGATATAGTACTTTACAACTGTAATTTATTCTTACTGTACTTTTTCTTGAGCACACTCTTATTATAGACACGTAAAAAGATAACAACAAGACACCAATTAGAATGTGATCTCTGTACTGTGAGAAATTTAATCTGACCATTTCTTAAAGCAGTCACTTACTCATGACAGGAAGTTTTTGGTTTTCCAGATCTGCATTTGACTTTGAGTTAAGAATGTGAACAAAATAATAATAGTGAGAGAAGCAATATAACACAGGTTATGAAAAGGCTAAATTCAAACATAAAACCATAGAATTAAACCTGTTTCTTTCATATGAAAAGTCAGTTTTCAGAAGCTGCTCAAATGAAGCAGCAGGCTTGTAACATTGGCAGTGATCAGGGAACAACTTCATGCAGTAAGTTTCATATGAAAGGAACTTGCCAATCTTCAGGATACAAACTTAATAGGAAAAAGGCTATTTATTTCAAAGAAGATGATATTAGTCCATTTAGTGACTCAATACTTTCTGAAAAAGATTTATTTGTTTTTGAGAGTACTAAAACCAGTGGAACTTGCAGTGTCAATACCACAAGAAATACGGCAGCAAAAGCCTGATGAGGGAACTGAGGAAGAAAGCTTGTGATTCAACCAAACTGTCTCTGCATCTACAACAGCCACATACTGTGTGGGTTTCCTTCACAAGAAGGAAACTATTTTTCACCACAAAGTTTCATAACTTGAGTGCAGCAGGAAAGTAAATGGGAGAGCTGTGCTGCAGCAGAATCTCTTTCAAGGCATATCACAAGGCATGCTGTTGTTTCTACCCAAATATCCCACTTCTTCAATTAGTATGGACCACCTTTGCCTTGCCTTTACCCTCCAAAATCTTGTGCTATGAAGACACACTGGCAGCAAACCACTTCTTCCCTCCAATTCTTCAAAATAGCAACTGCCCTGGCCATAATATTGACAAATTAAATTCCTCAAATTAGTTGGCCAAGTAACAGAGTTGTGCCATTTGAAAACCAGCTACAAACGGCATGAGAAAAGTGAATTGTGAAGAAGCGTCTGTTTGAATTTTTGTCAAAAGTGCACAGTAAGAGACAGGTTGCTCAGCAGTAAAAGCTAACTATCGTGACTGGCATGGAACTAAGTTTACAATCAAGACAAAAGCTATAAAACTTGTTTCATTTAGCTTACATGGTAAACACTAATACAGCTATGCACTAATTACACTTCTAGCTCTGTGTTCATTTTTATACCAAAATGAAAATTATAGGGATCAAGAGCAACATGAAATTCTGTAAAACAAATTATACACTTTCCCTAATCTGCAAAAGAAAAACACCTGTACAGCTAAATACAGAAAACTTTTGCTTGTGACATAACTGACATATACGTTATGCAGAATCAGAATTTAGAAGTCAGTATTTTTCACTTTAACAGTGCACTCAATTCCCAGAAATCAACAAAATCATTCATTACAATCTAAAAGATCCTATGTCAGAACCGGCAACCTAGATCTGGTATCCAAGACAAATAAAGTACTGAAAAGTACAGGAAATGCACCCGGAGCACACTGGTTTCTCACCTTTCAAGGTCTGACTCTTCTCTCTTTGCATCCACATTTGCAAGGCACTGAACACTCTCAGTGCTTATACATGCAAAGGATTAAGACTGCAGAGATAATGCCACTAAAACCGGTCAAGATGAAGGTAAACACAAGGTAAAAAAAGGACTATGTCTATTTTCTAAGATTCAAATTCAGTCATGTTCTGGAGAGCAAAAGACACTACTTAACACTGCTACTCAGCCCATCAGTGTTGATAACTGAAAGCCATGGGTACCTTATCAATTATAAGAACACAGTTTTACCTTTTACACTTTGGGACTTGTTGAAGTATGAGGTTTAGGGACAAAACCTGGTTCCCGTGAAGAACAATGTGGTGTTAGAGGTATCCTCTTCAGCAGAAAATAAATTCCAAACTGTCAAAAAATAACAATGGAGAGCTTGAAAATCATTGAGTTTAAAAATTAACTACTACTTCATTTTTTAATAAAGACAAACAATTGTTTTAATGAGAATAATCTCTAAATGCAATATTCTGTTTATCAAAAATAGCTCAAGTATTTTACTATCTGAGTTGACATTGATTTAAAGTTCTTCTTGATAAGCAGGACATTCTGACAGTTTTATCTTGGCTTTAAGCTATCACTTTATGCCTATCTTTAGCCTTGATGTCCTTTTCACTTTCAAATCTGGTATCACTCATACCATCTACATCTTCACATCCACTTACACTACCTTTAAAGTGTATTTATACACCATTATTTAAACATCTTTTCACTGAAGTTCTTATTAGGGTCTCTTCTGGCTTTCCGTGTTACATCTCCTCTCCAAGTCTCCAAAATTGCTCTTCTCAGGACTCCAGCACGTGTAGAATGCTGCTGCTGTTGACAACTAGCAAAGTTGCCCAGTTGCATTATTGCTTCTCCCTCAAACACAGGCATTAACTCTTTGTTTAAAAACCCACTTCAAAATCAATTCCTAGAATGTATCATGAATTTGTTTCAAAACTGAACTTCTTCCAGACAAGAACTCAGCACTGACATAAGTGATTGCCTACTTCCAGTCTCTTTATACCATTACATTTCATTTATAGTTACTTCCCTTGAACCATGCTGCTTTCCAAATTTTTAAGCGACATGAAATCAGGTTTCTTCCCCTCTCCCTATTTCTGTCTGCCTTGCTTACTGTTCTTCAAATAAAACAAATTCACTATAATGTGTACTTCTTCCATTTCTGAAAAATGTTATTTTAAAGTACATTAAATTCTAAAAAGGAAGCTGGGACCTATAAACTAAGGTTATGCTACCTGTAAATTCATTGATGACTTTTATGGAAAACACTAGAATTATCACTTATTTTATTTGAAAAGTTAGAGTACCTTCTCCTGCACCTAACAGAAGTTCTCAAGTGGTTAAAATACAGATGCAAACATTAACATAGAAAGTCAAAGCATAGTAGAACAATCTGCCAACAGGAGAAAAACAATTATAGTATGATTCAATGAAGCCACTCATTCTTGTCTGGCCAAATAACCTGCTGGCCCATTGACCTACTTTTTTAGGTGTTTACAGCCTCCTCTCCTATTCTGTTTTGTTCCATTTGACAAGTGCAAACATTAATAGTGACAAAGAGTCCCATGGAAGTCTGCAACATGAAACCAGTGTTTTTAAACTGCTTGGAGTGGAACAACTCTGCCAACTCTCACCCAGTGCCTAAGAGAGCTCTAATGATGAAAATTTTAGACCTCCTCTCTGCAGTATGTAGCGGTGCATTTCTTTTAAATCACAATTACACACTTAAGATAAACACTACAGGTCTTAATCACAGAACTATCTTTTATAATGTCAAAAAAGGGAGCTCTTACACATATTTCAAAAAGGGATTTTAAGAAGAGCAAGAGAGGAATATGCATGTATCATAACAGAACACAAGCAAGCTTAAGTCAGACCAAAGAGAAGCTAATCACAGTGGAAAAGCTTTTGTTGCCAAAACCACATAGATCTCTAACTCAGTAGAAATGGCATGCATGTGAAAGCCAGCAGAAAGGTTAAAACGCCTACATGCCAGCACTGGCAGCCACAAGTGTTCAAAGGTCATCATTCTGTCTCTACAACTCATTAGGTTTTTTAAAAAAATAAATTATGTGTGTCTGTCGCTTGACACTATGTGTTTTAAACACATTCAGGCATGTTTATCAACTTTTCTGTAACCAAGGTGGCTAGAAACTTACTATCTTAAAGGAAGCTGAGGTTCTCAGTCAAAAATCTTAGCTGCTGCCATGGATGTGCAAACCATTACTACACAAAATTGCTCAATCTGTAGAAAAATTACAAAAACTAGCAATACTGCAAATTCTGCACTATGCTTACTTATCACTCATGGAAAGGCAATAAGTTATTGGGTCCCAAGTCATTGTTTTGCCAAATAAAAAATATCCTCAATAAGTTACAGGGTAAAAGTCATAATACAACCTGAGGTAATAAAGTTCACATCATCTGATAAAAAATTCCATTTTTTTAGACTGAAAGAATTTCAGTACCTTCAGTCCAATTTTATTAACAATATTGGAATGCACATTGGTAATATTAAATATTGGAAACAAATTCAAAGATTGAACAAACTATGAAATTACAGTACAGTCTTGCTAATGACAAATGTTCTATCAGGACTGGACTGAAAAATGAGTGGGACAATGGTGAATGCATTGTCTTTCATACAGAGCCAGTAACTGAAATCACTATGTCTCCAGCACTTCACCATAATGGTAACACTGACAATTATTTTTGAGGAAGAATAAGTATTGCTTTTGTATTGTAAAAAATATTTTTATATAAATGCCTTGATTTATGTAAAATTTATATAATGGCATACAAGTAATACTTACATGATTTTGCAGATTACCACCCCCAGAAATAAATGTGAGATGGCTTGTATTATTAAGGCAAATAATTTTACACTGGGATTATCACAGGAAAAACATATGAAGCAATACAGTTTTCCAACCCTACAGTTTCTTCAAAGAGAAACTGATTAACTTCTTTAATACAACGTGATTTCTGTGCTATAATCCAATTTTACCAGGAGAGCAAACTAGTTATTAAAATCATCGAGGATTAGCTGTAGAGAAGATCTTGTTTAAAGAATCAAAGCCACAGCACCCAGTGCCCTGCAGAGCTCCTAACACTAGTCACCCACCAGGGTAGGAAAGACCAAGAGCAGAAACATCACACTGAACAAACAGCTGAGCAGAACCTGACTGCCAGTGTAAGCACAGTGTCAGAAGCCCTGTTCATTATAGAGATATGAAGACAATTATAAACCTTCCTGATACTCCTTTCCATGAGCTTTTGATCATTTGGATAATGAATTGCTGGGGTTTTACTCTACTAGGGCATTATACCATAATTAGGACAAGCAGAGATCCAGCCATTATCTCCTGCCCAGAAAAGCACATCACTATCACTCCTATTTTCCATTTTGCTTTTTGCTTCATTGGATCACCTCCACCCAGATATTTCTCTTTACCTTCCTCCTTTTTGGAGGTGGGGTAGAAGGGAGGAGAAGAAGAATTCGCTCTGGTTTAGATTCTCTCCAGGAACCACCGCATTTTGTAGAGCAAGAAATCTGGTAAACCATAAGCACTTGCTCTCTAATCACATATTTTTTGGTCTAATTGAATGAGCAAGCAGGTTTCAAGGCACTTGCTCCTTTGCTTGCAACAGAATATACACCAACGGAAAGCAAATTAGGGTAATGACTGATCTCTTCTTGCTAATCAAAGGCTGTCTGTGAAAATACTATGTTTTTAAAACTGACATGTCTCCTTTTTTACCTCAAAAAAAAAAAAAAAAAAAGGGCAATTGGAAAAAAAAAATCAAAAGATAGGGCTAAAAAGAACGTCAAGGAACTCTGCTCAAACTTTGCAGCTGAACAGGTTATTCCAGCAGCTGGGAATAGTCACATATTGCAAGCTTTCCTCTACCACACCAATAAATCAGTTTTTGGTCCGTGCTTGCACAGAAGAGATGACACATCCTAGAAATGTCATTTTCTGAGATAAAACATGCTACAGCAGCAGGTGTTCATCTTCCAGTGCTTCAGAGGACAAACAACAAGAGGGCTGCTTCTAGCACGGATGGATCCCAGATGGCTTTTAATAGGAAAATTTACGAGTGGCCATGAGTAGTCTGCTGTGGATGAGCAGCTTTCTTAGGTCCATCACCTTTTCAGGGACTACTCAAGGATATATAGTGGAGAAAGTGCAGTAGAACAGAAGTCTGGTGGTGTGGGTTGCCACTACCTGACTGGCAGTCTCATATCTGCTACTGAAGGACTTTTGGTAAGAGGGTAAGTGTAAGCAGTCTACAAGAGAGATTAAATGCCTGTTAGAAGACCTGTTATGGTAGTAGTTAGTGATATCACTGATTTAATTGAGTTATAATGACATTTGAAAGAGTGCATGCTATTTGTGTACCATCATACACAGTCCACAGCACCTAGAAGAAGCTACAGATCACCCTGAGTAGCAGAAAACATGACAACAGAGGTAGAGAGGTTAAGTTCTTAGAAAGGGTTTGTCACACAAATGTGCCCTGGTCTGCTCCCTGACAAGGTAATGGACCTAAACAAGCTGCTCAAACAAATTTGCTCAAAAGTCACTGCAAATAATATCTTCATAGAAAAATGAATTATGAGGATTACAGGAAAAAGCAATTCTCTCCTGCATGTTTCACGAATTAGACTACCCCACTATCAGGCGAGAGATTTCTCCAGGAATTGGGACTGACCACAGTTTACAATTTCTATCTCTCTAGCTCACAAAAAAAGAAAACACCCCTTTGCTCCAGATCATTTGGGTTGATCTCTGCTTGACCAGCTGTTCTGCAGCCACTCTTCTACCCTCCTCTGCAGTCTGTATCTCTTTCCCCTTACTCAACACAGAGATGGTCCCATAGCTCCCTCCCTGATACAGTGCAGCTCCCTAATCTTGGCCCAGACTGCTGTGAAGATGCATGCAAGAAAGCTCTAATAAGCCTCAAACCTTTACCTGGGCTACAGTGATTACACACTGACGGAGTTTGCAGTCCAGAGGGATGTGAATCAGGTGAGCACTAAAGTTAGGCCTCTGGAGCTAGCAAGTACAAACCCCAGCAAAACTGCCCTGAGGGACAAGGGAGAGCAACAGAGCTGGCAGATCTGTAAGGATGTCATCCATAGAGCACAAGAGCTAATGATCTCCAGGCACAAGAAATCAGGCAAGGAAGACAAGAGTATAGCAAGGATGAGAAGGGACTGCTGGTCGAACGGAAAGGCAAGACATGAATGCATTCCCTCTGCTCTGTCCCACGACAGGTATCCCGGGAGGAGTAGAGGGATGCAGCCCAGTTGTGAATGAATGGGATGAGGAAGGCCATGG